TTGCCTTCTCTTGCTCTCAGGATTACTGGTTCAATAATGTAAAGCGAAACAACATTTCCAAGTGTTACTGGGGCTATAGCCACAAATGCTGGAGTTGAACACCGCTCTTGCGGCGCATGCAGCTGAGATGCAGAGACCCTCCACATGGAGGCACCTTTGCCTAACAAGAGAGGGACAGAAGCCACAGAAATCCATATAGTTCTGCAGTGCGCTGGATCAGCTCTTGGCTTTAAAGTGTTTTCCTTCTTTTGCAGACTTCAGATGCCCAAACAGGAGCCATCGGCATTCCCATGGGAGTTTGATTCCCACTTTATTCAGAACTCCTGGAACTGGTCCTGGAAGAGCTGTGTTACTCCCTGTGAAAGCCACATTTTTGTGTTGGGTCTCTGAAACTGTCTCTTTTTTGTTGCAGGGATTATGTGTGCAAGAGTGAAAAAGGTTTCTGCCAGCCCAAGATAGGCACAGTATTGCCCCTGCTGCTGGCTGCGGGCATGGGAGCTGCCTTGAGAAGCTGAAGCTTCTCAGATTGGAGGACTTCTCCTTCTTCACCCATTCTCCCAGAGAGGGAGCCCATCCCATTCTCACTGACGAGTGAGCTGCAAGCCTCACACACATAAAGCTGTGCCTCAAGGGATGCAGGGTGAAAGGGGAAGCCTCCCCGGTACTCTTCTCAGAGGAACACCAAAAAGCTGCAAAATAGGAGTCCTACTTCTTGCCCTCAGAGGAAGTGGCTGTAGGCAGAGGAAGAGGGATGGAAATGGCTAGAGAGAGGATAAGGAAAAGATGAAGAGGATCCTGCACTTGCCAAGGACATAGGGATACCCCCGCTTCCAAAGCATCCTTCCAGGGCTCTGCTTTTACTTGAACTTTATTATAGCCTTTTCCAGACTAGAAGATCACAACTACTGTGTATGGTGCCCTGGGAAAAACTTGGCTCAGGACCAAAATACGTGRGGAGAGTTTCAAAATCCCAGTAGAGCGAGCCAAATTTAGCCTCTCCAGGTCTCACTTAGATGATCCACAGTGAGCAAATTTTCACTGAGCATAATGTAGCAATCTTCTGGTGTTCAAAGGAGTTGGATGTTGGCTGGTGGAGCCTTCTGGAATTAAATATGTGGCCTGTGGTGGACGGWGGTCACCAGGCTGCTGATCCCATATGTCTTGGGTGACCAACTTGAAGATTCAGTTGGGAAATGCTGAGAAAGTGCAAAATGCCTCCCCGGTGCGAAGACATTCAAAAGAATATCACAAAAATCTATCAGTTCTCATARCAAAGCCTGCTGCTGCTTTAACCCAGAGCCACAGCAGTCTCGGCTCCCCTGCCTTGCAGCTCTCAGGAAAGACTCATCTGTGGTATTCACACGGGGACAAGAATCAAGAAACCTGTTTGGGTCTGTTTTCTCCTKTTGAGCAGACTCACTCTGTCCTGGTTACTTGCCCTGCAAGCTCCTCAGGTAGGAGTTGCCTCTTACCCTGCACATGTACCATACCTGCCTCAGTGAAGGACCCAAAAATCTATTACAGTGTGTCCTTATAACTGCTACACTCCCTAAAGTATACAAGTAAATGTGCAGTCATGCACTGCGCATGGATGATGATTAAAAAGCTATTAAAATTGCATTTTCCATTGGGAGAAGGGGGAAAAAAAAGGGTTTATAAAATTTTAAAGAAATCTGCACATACTCAGGCTGTGCAAACAGAAGTCTTACCAAACCAACATAATTATAAGCTGGAACAAAGTAAGATAGTGTTCATATAAGCTCATTTGCTTAATAAATCATTAGATGCTCTCCATAGATAGGCTATGACCAACACAAAGACCTCTCTCCGGGGAAAAATATTCACAGAGAAGCTTGCCATGCTCTGCACTGGCAGCACTCCTGCTTGCCCCATCCAGACCAGACCAAAGCCAGTAGATGATTGCCCAGCGAGATACGGCCCAAATGTGCCTTCATGTGCTTGGGAAGGCTCTCCCTCAGTCTGCTGAATTAACTCTAACTTATTTAGAAGTCACCAGTGCTCCTTGTGCTACYGCAGCTTGTTCTTGTCTGTTTGACATGTTTAGCAGGACTGAGCCTGTGATGGCACCAAGTCTTATATGAAAGGGGTTATGTTGACTAAAGTCTCTACCGGCTACTGCGAATCAAAGGAAAAGGGAACAAGAGCAGCAACAAGAAACAAGAGAGATGGTATTGCCCCTGCCATGTGTTCTCCCTGCCGCTCTCTTCCTCACAGGGAAGGCTGACAGCCAGGCTAGGACCAGCATGGTCCATGTGACAGACCATCCACCACAAAGTTGGAGCCGATACTTCCAGGAGTGCTGGCGTGGCGGCACCTCTGATGTGGTCTCTGCTTGAAAGGGCCTTTCTGTCCACAAGCCAGGCCTCACAGTGCCGTAAGCAGAGTTATTTGGGTGCCAAGCCATGTTTCTATGAAAGGAGTCCAACCTCTGGCCTCCATCCACCCTGCTGCCCACGGGAGAGCCAGCACAGCCTATGTGGTGCCAGAGGCCAGGGAARGCGGAATGCTGACTGCACTCCTTCCCGACATCCTTGGATTGCCTCCGCGAGGAGCAGCACATGGCTGTGTTTTCCGAGACCCGGGAGCGGAGCCCGGGCACACACCAGAGTCAGTCCCCAGSCAGCGCTCGGCTCGCCAAGCTTGGGGGCAGCACGAGGGCTGAGCCGAGCATGGGGCAGAGGCACCTCCAGCCTGGTGGCAAGGGGCTGCCTATGTCATGTAAATCCACTCCAGAGGAAAACTCCAAGGGAAAACCTGGCTTTGCCTTGGTTTCACTCTGCAAATTTGGCCCCAGGGTTAGCCCGGGTGCATGTGGTCCTTGRGGTTTGTAGCTGCTCCCTTAGAAATTTTACTGGCACTCCTTATCGTGAGAACCTGCTGCAGAAGCGGAGGTACCCGATAATCTTTATCTTTCATCATTTGTACTTTGAATGTTATTATTTRAAAGCTTTTTTGCAATCCTCTTTACACAAAAATTGGGCAAGAACTGATTACATCCCTCCTGTTCACCAGCTACTTTTAGGGAAAAGCCTTTCTAGCCAACAAGGGCAGAAGTTGGGTGTACAGAGAAAACAGAAGAAAAAATAAAAAACACATACAAAGCTCTTCCTTATCAAAGTTACATTAAAACAGTTACAACGATTACTTTTCCCAGCCTTTCCCCACCAAAGGTAGCACAAGTAAACAAAAGAAAATCGAGCCCAGGGCAGCTTGCCACAATTTTCACAGGGAAAGAATAACCTAGTACTCTACTACAATCTACTTGACATATGAGCTCTGTATCTCCTCTTCCCAACTGACCTGCTCTGGAAGAAGTCACTGAGCACTTGGTGTGCTGCAGAAGTGAGAGCAGAGAACAAAAGTCCAGCAGTAGACGAAGAGACACGTTGCAGGCCCTGGCACCACAGTTTAGTACATGCATCTTGGGTAAAGGAGGAGAGAAACTGAAAGTGCTGATTAAGAGCCTACTCACAATTTTGGAAAGTTTTTCATTTTTTTCCCATTGTTCCTAGATGCACTGTGCAAAAGAGCACAGAACAGCATGTTAATGCACTGCTTAATGATTTCCTGGGTACTCACTGATGCTGTTATTATGAAAAAGCAGTGAGTAAGGACATCCTGCTTGCCTTCCTTGTCTTCCCACTCATTGTTTCATGGTTATATTTCCCATCCCAGTGGCCACTTTTCCAAAGTGAAGAGTCTGGGTGTGCTGGAGCTCTTGGCTGCTCTAGGACATTTTACGTGCATGTCTCTTGAGCACGCTGCCTTCTAGTTTCACGACCACCAGCCCTAGCTGCAAGCACTGCAAAGTGCCAAGCCCACACTTGTCAGGCCTCTCCTTTTGCATCCCTTTTCCCAGKACCTGCTTGTCCTCACCTTTGGGTGCTGTGTCTGGCATGTTGTCTTCTATGAGCAAATCAAAAGAGTAGGGCAACAGCTATGGATATTGATGGAAAATAACGGTTTACAATTATAAAATTAAATCCACAGGTTGTGTAAGTAAGTGGGCTGTTCGTGCCTACTTCTTCTTGAGGGTACTTTTGCCTTATAAAAAAGAAATCCTCAAATCCAGTAACTAGTGAGGCAGACTACTGTGTCTGTATTGGCCATGAGCAGGTTCATAATCTACTTTGATTAGAGGAGACAGTTCAACCCATCAAAAGTCTGTGTTGAGGTTTTAAGCATTGTCTGCAGACTGTATCAGTGAGTGAAGTAATTTATTATCATCCAGCCATAGCAATCGCCTCCTGAAACCCTTTTGGCAGAACTTCTCAASAGGCAAAAGCATCATCACTGTAATGTGTCTGACCTGTTTGAATTCAGATTGCAGACCAAAACTTGGGAAGATCAGGGAATTAACTGAATCAAGCAGAATAAAATATTTACTATTGTCTCTACATAATGTGCTGAATTTTATACCACCTTTCCCAGAACTATCTGGATCRATGAAGACACTTTCTGACAGTGCAGAGACACAGTGTTCAGCAGCAAGAGGAGAGCCTGCTTACCATCAACTGTTATTGAAGCTTGGACCGAATCAATTTTTTCCATTCAGGATCCAATTATTCACCACTAGCTCTGAGATTACTGTTCCTTTGGTAGGGTTAAGATTTGTGAAGCCTACTTGGCAGCATTTACATAAAGAAACACTAGCAGCAACAGCACCAAGAAACCCTCCCTGGGTACCCCTGACTCCCCATCTGTGCTTCAGGAGAGCAAGTCCCTCCGRCAAATGGATTTAACTTTGGTAGTGAGAGGTGACGAGGGAGGCCGGGAGGGAAGCAGCAACAGCAGAGCAGAGGAGATGGGGCTTTCAGACACTGTTGGTTCCCTCTGCRGAGAGGGAAGCTGCGCCATGAATACCAAAAAGGGAAAACAGAGCACTGTTTTGAAGGGAAATGAGGGCAGCACCAGGGGGTTGGGAGCTGGGGCACCACTTATGCAAGCGTGGATATAAAAGGGAAACCCAAACCATCCTGAAGTGTCCTGAGTGGGAGAGAAGACGAGCRCGAGCATCTCGCCTGAGAAGCAGGTTTGGGAGGTGTGTGTTTCGTTGTGCTGCTGTCGGTGGCTGGTGCAGGAGGCGAGCCCCGTGCGGGCCTGGGGCCCTGCCAGCGCAGCGATGCCGGTAGGCGCCGTCTTGCTCATAGCTCCTGCGGGCTTTTGGCTGCAAGGCATTTGGGCCCTGCTTTGCCTGGCTCGGTGGCTCTTGTCAGGGCTCCCTTTGGAGCACTGAATCCTCAACTGATGGCAGGGTGGAGGCTTTGGGCTTTTGGAAATTGAAGCTCTATCTTTAAGCACATGCCCATGTCTAAAACCATGGCAACCCAACTCTACTGGGAGGGAAGGGGGGAAATACAAAAACCTTGCTAAAAGAGTCCACGTGTAGTAATTAAAATGAAGCTTGTGCACCCTAGATTCAATACGGCTCAGTAGCAAAACACAAAACTACTGTAATTAAGTCATACTAGGATGAAATCTGTTCCTGGGTGTAGCAACGCACGTGCAGCCGGAGGGAACGCGCGTGGAAAGATAAGATACATAGATCTGATGCTGTTTCATGGGGGGATGTTAACWGAGCAAGCGCAGCGACCAGCGTGTTCAGCGTCCAAGGACGTGAACGTAAGCTGCAGTCAGAGCTCCTCGTTCACAGCCACATCCAGCCAGATATTCCCTGCGGCGTAAGGCAGGGGTGGCACAGCGGGAAGAGCGGCTCCGTGGCCGCCGCCTCGTGCTCCCAGCGCCGCCGCGCCGGCATTTCTTGCACACAGGGACTGGCAATGGGGCTGCAGGGCCCACAGTGCGGCCCGGTGCACGCTCAGCCTCGTGCGTTTCCAGGGAGAGACCTCGTTCTCGCTTTGCCGGGATGCATGGCAGGGATACTACAGGTCTTCTCCAGCCATCTGGAGACTGCACAAGTGCTTGGGGATTGCTCTGCTGCCAGATGCTTCTTGGATCGGGATGCTGAGGCAGGAAGAGGAGAAAATGCCTTTAATATTTCAAGATGTTTATTTAGGACTCATGTTCACGCTGGCAGGTCACATGGGCCCATACTCAGAACTGCTTTTATATCTTGTTACCACAAAAGTAATCAAGTTGGTTAAGTGGAAAGCAGGGCTGCAGACAGAAGTTTTCCATCTCTTGCAGTCACTGCAGCAGCTCAACCTGTGCCAGGCTGGGCACCACAGGAACAGCCATGCCCCAGTGGCCCCCCAAAACCCAGCCATGGTCATTGGTTTGGTCTTACTCCTGTTAGAACCAGGGGGTTTTAGCTACTAACTCTATTGAGGGCAGTAAGTGGGACCCACTTTAATACAAATGGCAGTCCCTGTTTGGTTTGCTGTGGGCTTTTTTTTTTTTTTGCTTAAATAGGAAGAAGTAGTGTGGAAAAACTGGAGGATCATTTCAAAAGCAGCAGAAATATCTCTGAAACCCACCCCTTGGGCATAATAATAACAGTTGGGGATCCTAGGATCTGAGAAAATGAGATTGAGATGGATAAATTCCCTGTTTATCTGGCTCAGGTGTCAGGATCTGGCAACCAAATCCATCCTGCTTTAATCCTTTCCTTTTCAATACATTTTGTTTTTAAGAGGTAAATAAACCCAACAACAACAGATTTTTGATCTTCTGAATAAGACAAGAGGGAAAGAAAAGCTAGAAAGTGAGAACTTAATCATTTTGCTTTGCGTGGGAGTACATATCCCATTTACTGATGGGTTCAGAAGTTGCGGGTCAGAGATTAGAAGCAATATATGCAAAAGAGAAAAATCTCATCTAATGGTATGATAAAATGCAAGTGCAAGGAAATATGCAATTTTTGATTCTGACTTAAAGTGGGCTGCGTTACTTTCCAGTACTAGAATCTTTTCTTTATGCATAATAAAGAGCCTGTGTCATTTTAGTAAATGTGTAACTGCAGACTCCCCAAACCTCCTGGGTCTGGTTAAAGGTCTTATATATTGATCTGTAGACTCTTCTGTGAATCCAGTGCTAAAGCACACTCAAATTTCACCAGGTCGTATCTGGCCTGATCCTTTCAGCCTCCCAGCTTGTTGTGCAAAGTGGCTTCATGCACTGACACTGGAGACATTCAGAAGGGGCCCTCCCTTTGGAAAGGGCATAAATCCACCTGCCATTGCAACGCAGTCCTCCCGGAGCAAAAAGGTGCTGACAGGAGCCTGCCCAGCGCCAGAGGTGGACATTCCAACACGGACGGAGGCTAGGAGGTGAGCTTATYGGTTTTGCTTCGAATGCCACCTTTTCAATTCAAGATGTCATGCTTTTGCGTAAGGCTGGCTCCTTTGTGGAATGCATGTTTGCTCTCCATAAATCTGGCTTAGCGTGAGTGCTGGCACTGAGGGCTGTGCCTCTTGCTGCTTCTRTTCCCGAGAAAGCAGTTAGCTGAGGCCCTGGCCCCAATGGGAAGGCCAGCGCCAGGCACCAGCTTTGGCCTAAATTTGCTGCTTGGGCAGGGGGCACAGAGCCTTTCCCACTGCTGTGGCGGGAAGAATTAAGGAGGGCTTCGGAGACACAGAATCACAATAGAGAAGAGCAGGGAGGGAAAGACAGTGCCTCCTGTTCCTGGCTTCTGTTTTCGTGAGCCTGGCCCAGTCTGGAGAACACAGAGGAGAGTGGCCRTGTGCTAGTGCATCGGCTAGTGGCTGAGTATGCAGAGGGAGTTGGAAGGACACGTCCTAAGATCATAGTGYACCTGGCTGCAAGCAGCACGTCCCCAGCTGTGGGACCCGGGTTGGGAGTGTGCTCTGTGCACTTGCTGCAATGAGGCAGAGAGAACGAGAGGAGGGGATGAGCAGCAGCAAGAGCCGCTGCTTACATGCTGATTTAGAGGATGGGATGGGAGTTAATGAGTAAGAGCAAACCTCAGGTGAAACACAAGACTGGAACTTGAGCTGTGCAGCAAGTCGTCTCCCAGGGTCCCGTGCAGAGCAAACGATTGAGATTTCAGCATACAGGTACTAGCTGGGAAGAAGTTCAGAYGTCTTGAGGGGCCATCAGACAATCCTGTTTTGCCACCAGTTCTGTTTTGCAAACAATCCTGTTTGTTAGACATGAGCATACTATCTGGCAATGCAGAGGTGCACATTGACATGTATATGTACTTGGCAAGGTATACTTCTCATTACCAAACATCTGCACATCTTGTGTTTTGTATTTGCAAGAAAGTGGTGGTACCACAAACCAGAGTATTATTAGTCATAAAACACTTAGAAACCCTTTAGTGAAATGAATATGGTTGTACATCAAAAATTGGGCTGGCAAGGCATCAGACCTTTAACACTGATTTTTTTTTTTTTTTGCCTAGAAACATCCATTTCAGTGATGCAGGAAGAATGAGTGCTTGTGTTGGCCTAGCTATTAAAACACAGCATGCTTTGTTAGTGCCAACAGTTATGCTGCCTAGGCATACAAAGCAGGATGGATCCATGGGTGGACTTTGTTTCCCAACCCACTTTCCACTTAAGAACTGGCAGGTCCCTCATGCCATCCGTGTGCCACCAAGACTTGGTATAGCAGTGCGCAGAGGTAGCTCTGGCTAGATCTTGGGAGCCACACAGCTGCATTATTATAGTGTTTTGTCAGAACTCATGCACTCTTGCAAGCCTAACTGGTCCAAGGAGATGACTATAATGTGTCCAGGTCCTGAATCTTTAGAGTACTCCCGTAGTTAATGCAGCTCAATCTCCACCTCCATTTTCCCATGTGCTGCTGCTGAAACTGGTGGCCATTTCACCATGGACTTCTCAGGAAGCAGGGGCAGACCAGCACTAAATACAGCAGTTCTCATCTTTGTGACTTCAACACAACACTACTACCATCCCAAAAGAAATATTTATAATAAGCTAATCAGTCTTCTTTCCTTTTCTTTAAGCAGACTCTGTGGAAGTGGATTTTCAACATGAAGCTTGCAGCAAATCTTCTCTGTTTGTTCACATGCCTCATAGCGGTGTCTTGTGACCGTGTTTATGTCCACCCCTTCAATTTGTTCTCTTTTAACGAGAGCACCTGCAAGGAGCTGGAGAACTTGGTCCAGGAGGGAAAGAAAACATTTGTCCCTGTCCCGATAGAGTCCCAAACCACAGCGGCCTATGAAGATGATCTGAATGACAAAGCCAAGCAGGAAACCATGAGCCTGGGAATTCACGGGAGGCAGAAACTGAGCTACCTGAAGAACTTAGTGTACGTCCTCGGTGCACGGTTTTACAGTGAGCCAGGGGAAGCGCAGAGGGGCCAAAACCGCCTCCTGTCCCCAACCAGTATCTACAGCACCTTGGTGTCCCTCTACCTAGGTGCGTCAAACCAGACAGCAACTGACTTGCAGGGTTTGCTGGGATTTGTCCCTCCCTCCGGAGACCCTAACTGCACCTCCAGAGTGGATGGCAACAACGTCCTTGCCACCCTGAGGACTATCGAAAGCTTCTTGGTCAAGAACAGGGATGAGGAGTTGCTCTTTTCCAAGACGCTCTACCTCTTCTCTGCTCCTGGGGTGCCTTTGTCCGAGTCCTTTGTGCATGAGCTGGTCCCCTCCGCTGACGCGCTTTACATCCGAGCCGTCGATTTCACCAACCCAGGTGAGGCAGCAAAGCAGATAAACGCCTTCGTGGAGGCCAAAAGTGAGGGCCGGAGCAAGCACTTACTGACGGACCTCGACCCAGCCAGCAGCCTGCAGCTTGCAGTGGACATTCACTTGGCAGGTGAGCAGCAGAAAGGGCTGCGTCTGGAGGCCTGGCTTCAGCAACCCAAAGCATGCTCAGGGGTCGCAGCTTTCTGGCAGCCTGCATGCCTGACTACGTGTCAGAAAACTTCCAGGGAGACGTAGGTGTCAAAGCAGGCAGCTGTTGTTAAAGGTGGAGCTCATTAAATGCTTGGAGCTTTCATTTCCCCCTTTGTAAAYTGGGGATCAGGTTTTCTTTGCCTTTAATGGGTGCTGTTGGCTGAAGATCCATCCTGCTTATAAGCTGGTGTGAGACCCCCCAGTGAAAGGTGCGAGTGCTGGGGGCAAGYGCCGCAGCTTTCTCTTCACCAGCATATAGGCAGGCACACAGACAGCACAGTAAAAGTATTTCATGTATTTTAACCTTGTACAGAGCTGCACAGCATCATGAGAGCAGACTTTTCCTTTAGCTGAACAATTTTTTCYGCTTGTTCTGTATTGGAAACTTGTTATTTTGTTAGAAGCACATGTTTGAAGGTCTGAGTCACTGGGTCAGCACTGTTTCCTCTGCTCTGCCTAGAGGATTCCCACTGAGATGCATTCTCCGTGTGTGGGCTGGAAAGAAGAAYGGCTCAAGAATGAATGAAATAGATAAACAGCTATTTTTTTTAATGAACACTGTAGATGGACTTCAGCATTTGCTTTGCTGTTTGGTTAGGGAGGGGCATCCATGAGAGGTGGTGGCTGAGTTTCCACATGYTACTCCTTTAACTCCAGGAAGGAAAAAAAATCAGTGCTCTGGAATACATTACATATGCACATAAGATATTATCAATAGCCATAGGATTAAAAAAAAAAAAAAAAAAGTATTACAATTGTCTTGCTGTTCTCTTGCACAGTCATATTTGCAAATTGAATGTAGCAAGGACTACATTTAGAAATCTAACRCTCATGAAATATTATTGCTATTAAAGAAGCAGACTTTCTTTTTTTGTTTTTAAATTGCAAAATAATTACAAATGAGCAAATGGAAATAGATGACATAGCAGAATCTTAATTCACTTTAGGTTGTTCTTTAAGCAGATAAAACCCTGAAAAACTCCAGTTTTAATCTGAAACATGGTGGGGTGCTTTTTGCCCTTTTTATTATTATTAGTTAAAAAGCCATGGTTTTCCACTAAAAGGAAAAATCTCATTAAGGTTGTCAGGCTGGCATAAAACCTATATTGCAGAATACGGAGTATGTTACCTGAAGCGCAGAGGCCCCAGGTTCCTTTCCTCTCCTCCTAAAACAGTGCTCCAAAGTATTCCTGTGCCTTCCCAGGCTCTCAGGCCGCCTCGTCACCCTGTCACTGACTGCTTCCATGGTTTTTATGTCCTTTATCTTTCTTTCCTCATTTTTTTTCCCGCTCTAATGCATTTGACAAAATGTTCCTAGCCCTATAGTGTCCGCCTCCTACTGCAAGCAGATTCAGAGAAATAACATTGCACCCGGTTCCTCTCTTTGCATCAGAGAGATGAGAAGAACATTATCGAGGGCAGACGCATCCAGATTTCCATGCGGCAAAAGGCAAAAGGCTGACGGGAGCCATTTCTCTCACCACAGCATTACTATTTTATGGCAGCTCACAACTGGCCCAATATTCATGAATTCAGTCCCACAGTCAATAGCAAAGCTTTGAAATTTTGCATAATCAGATCCATGTGCACTACAGCCAATAAATAATTTAAACAGTCCTGTTGCAGAAACAGTTTCATCTGCTTGGCTCGTTTGTTTGCCAAACTTGTGATTTTTTTCCCCCACTGGCGGTATTTAGCAAAACAACATAYAGCTGAACGGTGGCATTCCTGAGTATCATTCTTGTTTCAGAGAGCAGCCTTTCTGCATCCAAATAACCTTCCAGAGGCGATTACCTTCCTTGTCCTTTGACTCATCTCTTTCTGAAGAGCAACTTTTTCTTTAGTTTTCCTAATTCCTTTCCACCAAAGAGCACTTTCAAGGTCTCTGCCCTTCTCACTCATGGCAGTAGTTTCTTTAATGTCAGCAGGATTATCTGCCTAACTGGGTAGCAGCATTGGGCTGCACTGGGCAGACAAACAGGTGCAAAGCAGGCAGAAGCAGCAGGAGATGAGAGCAAGGCTTCCTTTATTTGTGAACTGGGTAAGAAATTTATCTTAAGCATTAGAAAGTCTTCAGACATGTCCTTTCAACCTCCTTGGCCCAATGGACCCCTCAGTTTTATGCTTGAAGTTTATCCCTTTGCTTTGGTCCTTAAGATGAGCAGGGCTCAGAAGAGAGCTTGCCACAGCAATCCTTGCATGAGGACATCCTTGTAGCAAGGGCTGCCCCTGTGGATGGGGGAAACCCAAACAGACCCTCCCTGCAGACCTACAAGGAAACCAGGAACCATTCGGTAGTGCTGGAGGAGACAGACAAGTGAGCAAGCAGAAACACCAGGTCTAGGAAAGGGCACAAGGCTGCTGCAAATAGAGCAGCTCTGCTCCAATGCTTGTTTGGCCCTTGTGCCAACCTCTACCTGACGCCATCGCAGGATACTTAAAAGGCAGGATATGTGTGTTTAAGGTAGCTAAACATGATTTTATGTCCTCAAACTTTGCCTAATGCCCAGTGTGTTGAACAAACCATATGTATCTGATGTGGACAGGGGAGGGAAAAGAAAGAAAGGAGAATCAGTTGCTACTTCTCCATCTGTTTTTCAGCCACTGTGAAGAAAGCCTCGCGGCTGAAAGAGCCCCACGAATTCTGGGTTGATGCGAACACCAAGGTCTTGGTGCCTGGGATGTCGGTGACGGGCACATTCAAGTACAAAACTGACACCAGCAAAAGCTTCGCGGCCATTGAGGTTCCTGTCAGCAAAGACGCTCTGCTCGTGCTGATGCAGCCCCTTGACGGCAACGCGCTGCACAAGATAGAAGCTGAGCTGCCGCTGCAGTTCTCTGCCTGGCTTCAGGATTTGTCCCCAAGGTACAGCTCAGCCACACAGCGGGCTCCTAGAGGAGTGAAGCAAGCAGGCTAGATGCAGGCCTGCCAGGTTCTTGCTCTCTGGCAACAGACGGGTCCTGCCCCAAGGAGAGCGTGAYGATGCCTCCCACAAAGCGCACGGAGAACCCAGGCATGCCCTARCACCAGCAGGGAAATTTCTACAGGCTTTCCCTTCCTCAGCCCAGCCCATGTTCAGATGCCCAAGGAAAGCTCTTGTAACTGTCTTCCAGCAACCCTGGCTAACTGTCTAGTCCCAGTCTCACATCCTTGTCGGTCCTTTCTTAGCACGTGGCAAYCCCTGATTCTGATGCTGACAGTTTCACTCCAGCAGAGCTTGCCTGCAGTAGGACCAGCATTTTATTTGCTGGGATTTCTGGGCAACAAGCAAGTATGTTTCTGCTGCTGACAACCGATCCTTTCGTACCCACAGGCAGACTTACCGGTGATTTCCCACACGGAAAGAGYGACGCAAAGTCCGCATGCACCTGGCAGCCGTCTCACTTCCCATCTAGAGCACCTCTTAGACTTTTCAAATGCACACTCAGCAGGAGTGACGCCCAGCCCAGCCACCACACTTTGGACCATGAATACTTACCCATTTCTCTCTCTTTCTCTCTCTCTTCAGACAAATTAAATTAACTTTACCAGAGTTAACAATAGAAGGCAACTCTGATCTTCAGGAACTGCTCAGAGATATGAAGCTGTCTGCACTGCTGGGGAAGGAAGCAGACCTCAGTAAAATAAGCGATGCTAATCTAACTGTTGGAAAGGTACAGTACTTGTGACTAACCTTTAGAAAAACTGCTCAATTTTAGTCTATTTAGCTGTATAAGTTTACCTAAATCCAAGCAGTAACAGCTGTATGGAACAATGTAAGACTTGCAAAATGGTTAAACAGGAGCAACCACTCTTTAGATTAACCTGCCAGCAGAAAGAGGTTTCCCTTAAACTCTCCAAATTTCATCCCCCCAGACAATGTAATTTGCAGTGCAGTCGTGGAGCCTGAGCTCTCTCTCATGAGGCGTGCCGGGTCCTGTGCAGAGAAGATGGCCTGGGTTACAAGCAGCTGCAGCAGAGCACACCACCACGCTGGATGGGGAAGGAGCGGGCGGGCAGGGTTTATTGGGCCGTTCAGGTAACACAAGATCGCGCTGGGCCTCTCCCCAGACTGCAAATACCCAGGTCAGGGCAGCACCCGCCTCACCTAAGACAAGCTTAAGCATCCAGCCACGGAAGCGATACAGGGAAACTTGAAGGAAGGGACTGTCTTTCACAAATAGAAGAAAAATTATCTACTAAAGCCGTGATTTCAGTGCCTTCTCATTGTTAGCTTTTAAAAGGTAGCCTACCTTGGAAGCTCTGACGGGGCTTTCAAGTGTGACATGATTCACACAGCCCACATGCACAAGCATTTGTGGAGCGTTTTCCTGTGTTCTGGAACAAGTCCCTCAAGGACTCCATAAAAACATCCACCAATTATATCTTTTGTGTGGTTACAGCTGAGGTAGGTCACTAGTTACTTCATGTGTATTTTCATTTAATTATACTTTCATCCATGACTTCATTATCGTGCCTTGATGACTACAGACTTACTCACACATTTGCCTTACAGGTAATAAATAAAGCCCTTTTCAAACTGAACAGTGATGGAGCACATCAACCAGAAGATCCTGCAACACAAAAGGAAGATGTGGTGTTTCTGGAAGTAACGCTGAACAAGCCATTCCTTGTAGCTGTCTTTGAGCAGAGGTCTAAAGCAATGCTTTTCTTAGGCAGAGTAACAAACCCACTGAGCAGGGTTTAAATGCAAGCAGTGAGAAGAGTGGGCAAGCGGGAAATAAATGATGGGGATTCCCACCTTCTTTCCCAACATCTTTGTGTTATATTCATCAGTACTCACGATCTTTGATCTTTTAAAGTACTTAAGCAGATACTGTTTGAAATACAGCTTCTTAAAAAGCTACAAAATACAAAATTGTCTGCAACGCTCCATCATTTCTCATGTGCTTCAAGTGAGATGACTTAAACTTTCCTCATCTGTCCTCATCTTCTTTCCCACTTTCTCTCCCTCTTTCTTTCTTTTTTTTTTTTAATAAGACATGAAGAACAAAACAGTAGTCATTAACACAATGACTTTAAAAAAATGAAGTTCTATGAAGGGCATGCAGCATTTTCTACAGAAGGTACAAAAAGATCTTTATTCCTTAGAAGGTCACCTTTGCTTTTTAGTTTGGTCAATTTTGCAGGAGCCCCCCGCTCCTTTTAAGCTACGGGGAAACTTTTACAGTTATCAAAGGCTTCTAGCTTGCTCAGCAACTTTTTCCTTTAAAATGCTGCCAGCAGCATGTACAGGCTTTACTTGCCCCCTGAGAAAAGATTTTGCCTTGGAACTAAAAGCACATTTGTAGAAAGTTTCTTCTTGCTGCAGCCTAAAGAGATAGGCCTATTAAACTCTACAGGAAAGCTAAAAATATTGCACAGAAGCACTAAGGAACAGCAATGGAAGCAATGGAGAAATTCCCATCCCACAAGAGAGATACATACATATATATATATATATATATATATAAAAAATATAAACAAGGCCTACTATTTAAACTCTTTCATTACTTCATAAGCATTTATTATAGCCTTGTGCTGAAAAAGAACATTACTGTGGAGAATCTAGAAATCCTTATCATGTGTTCTTAAAAAATAATAGGATCTGAGTTATCGGTATTAATGGCAGGTGTGCCACTGCCCAAGTGAAGAAGGTTTCCAGTATCCATTGCTACTCTTTGTCCTAAGTGTTTAAAAATTTAAACTGGAACAACAGATTATCAAACTGGGATTTAGACAAGGGATGGGAGTGAGCTTGGTCCTAGGAAAGCCTGCAGGGGCTTTACCTTTGATTTCTGTGGGACAAGGATTCCCTCCCACCTTGAGAGACTTGTGTTTAGTGATTATGGCACTCRGGCAGCAATTGCAAACCTTTCGGGCAGGGTGCCTCCTTGTCATCCAGCGGCCCAAATTTCTAACCTACTCAAAGTGGCTAACACCAGCCACCTCCTGTCAGTGGTACACATCCCTGACCCGTCCTTCCACCTCAACGGGAAAGAATGAGCAGCAAAACCCATGTGCCCGGGAAGACTAGGATTTCGAAGGCTGTGATGTAGCACCCATACCTTTATCTGATTATACTGAATGTATTCCAGATGCTCTAACATCTAACATTGTGCTTGTGTTATTCAGAAGCAGTTTAAACAGCGAATGTATAGAACAGGATAAATGCAAATAAAACTGCTTATGAATTACTTAAACTCAGCTGAGTTTATGTCCAGCTAGATTCCTTGTTCCAGCTTCTGAAATTTGCTTTAAGTCAAATTATTGTATAAAATGTGAATCTAAGTGGTACCTGTAAACCTGGACACTGAATGCTGTAACATGAGCCTTCTAAATAAAATAAATTCCTTCCACATTTAGAAAGGTAAATTTTCTAAAAGTCTCGGAAGGGAAGAAGAAGGCACAAGATCTGTATCACTTTGATCTCTGCTGCCACAGAAGAGTTCTGATGACTAGAAGAAAGTGGATGACAAGCAGAAGACATCTCTAGTAGAGCCCACTTAACGCTAGATCCTCTCTTCCCCACTGATCCATTTGTCGCTATTTGAAAATGGTAAAATATCTTTTACCACAAACAAGGTAAATTCACATCTGTTCTCCTTCAACAAAGGCATTGTACATTTTTCTTTATTAACATCTTATTCCAATGAAAGAAAATGAAATGCTATTCAAGTGAACAATGACAACAAAGACTAGGAAAGCTGACATAAAAACTGTGATGTAAATGCCTGCAGCGCCCATATGGGGGCTGTAATTGTGTATCACGCCACAAATGGACAGGTGCTAAACAAATTTTAAGAGGCAAATTCTGCCCTCCATTACTCAGACTGATTCTGAGAACTAGCGTAATTGCAGTGATAACGCTTCCCCCTCGTGCCCCTGCTTTTATAGAACCGAAGTGAGAAAAAGTTTGTAATCATCACCTATCCCCCTTGCTTCAAGCGTGGTGATCATGTAATTGCATCTTTTCAACTAAAACAGGGTAAATCTCCAACAGTGAGGAATAAAAACTTTATTACTGTGAAAGGTTTGCTGACTGCCGCTGCAGTGCCACTTAACAGCTTTGTGCTACCCACTCATTATTTAACTACTGAGAAGGGATGGATCATCTCCAGCTTCCATCTTTAAGGCCCAAGCTCTCTAAACACTTTAGAAGCATGAACTAGGCCTTGAATTCCATTGCTTTCCTTTTCTTTTTTGGAAGGGGAAAAAAATATATATGCATATACACATACACACACACACACACATATATATATTCTTTTATACTTATACACGATACATTCAGTTCTAATTTGGCAGAATACAGTGTGAAAGTAACAGCCAGTAAATTATATAAGGACATTAGAAAAGATTCCTGAAAAAAAGCACTTTTGGAGCCTTCCTTAGCATTTCTCAATGATGGGATCCAAGAATTGGTAAGATAAAAGCACTGAAAAGCTTAATGAGACCGAGCTAGATCTGCAAGTGAAAAAGCTGGTCACTGCAAAGCAGTAACACGGAAGAGGAGATTCCTATTACAGTGAGCAGTTTCTTTACTCCAGAAAACTCTCCCTTTGGAAGCTTTACAGAGCCAGCAATGAATGCCCGATTTAGGTATCTGATTAAAAAAGCATATGGGACATCAACATTAGGAAGATGATTTATTACATATTATTTTAATCATATAAGCTCATTCTTTTACATAAGATTTACAGCAAAAATAAAAAACATTTTCTTCCACTTTATAGTAAAAATCTTACAACTTTTGACTGCTTTCCATATAATGGAAAGCAGATCAATTCTCAGTCTTTTGTTTAAATGAGTCTATCTTGACATAAGATGCACTGATTTCTTTACTGAGATACATTAGGAAGCACTTAATTTGAACTAATTTGGTAAAATAAAGACAAGTTAAATACTCCTTACTTAAAGGGACACTGTTCATCTTCAGCCACTTGCATTCAAAAACATTTAAGATGGTTCCACTGTAGCCTGATCCTTGGCAGCTAGAACAATCTCTGTAAGCGCTGAAAAGCCTTTGATGCTGCTTGTTGGCAGGCCCATCTTTTGTATCTGAAACACATAAAAGAAGTGTTACTTTCCTTAAACACCACAAGCTCATCAATGGTTCTGCTTAAAGAATACTGAGCAAAACACATGGTTTGTCTTGCAGTACGTAGCATTAGGGGGCCCCACACACAGGACGCGCTATCCAGCTTTGCTCAGTCAAGTCCTTCCAGTTAACATCGTTTCTCACAAGAAAATATTTAGCCACCCTGCAGGCAACTGGTAACTAGCGCCAGCTGGAAGTGTTTCAGGAAAGCAGGCAGAAAAGCGAAGCCTGGCTCTAACTTTACTTCTTTTATATATCAATTTCAACTGAAATGTTCTCAAACCCTAAATGAAGTTTCTGGGCAAAGCTTTTAAGATAAAGTATCCACCCAAAAACAGCCGACAGTGTGATGATGAAAGCATTTCCATAAGCTTAGAGCACCTACAGTTCTACCCTAGAACTTCATGGGGGATAAAAACAACTCCACAAGTAGGGTCGCTAAGAGTCTTTCCTTACCTATGAAATCTACTGCTTTGACAATTAGAAAGATATGAGCTTGAGAAAACTAACCATGCACTGAAGAAAAATCTGTATCTAAATAAAACAAACAGTACATTGCTCTAAAAAGGTGTTCTTTGACTGGAACTCTAGATGATATTCAGATGCATCAAAATAATTCCCAAGTAATTATACATGATCTATCCTAGTACAACAAACTCATACCAAATGAAGGTAAAAGAACAAAAATTCACCCACTCCTAACCAAATCTGCCTGATGTTTTTTGTTAATAAGGCTCCTCCACCTCACACAAATCTGCTTCCTCTTACCCAGGCAGAATGTACCTGCCTGCTCTAATGCATCAGCAACAGCTGCCCCGAGGTAGGACCAACCATAACTGCCTGGCAGATAATGAAATCAATCTGCACTTAGAAATTTATTTTATTTCTAAAGATTATGTATAGAAATAATGACTACAAAAAAATGTTTAGGCAAATTGATGTGAGCTGCTTCACATGTTTCCTGGATTACTTTTTTCTTTTGCTTGTGTTATTTAAAGTTCCATACTTGACTTTGAAAGGAACATAATAATAAATTAGGCCAACAACTTCAAAATCCCTCAGAACAGATTCTTGACTGTGTTTTCTCTCAGTGCTTCTAAACACCAAGCAGCACTTCAAATTTGTGTAGTGAAAAGCATGAACTTTTCATTTATACAATACAGCACATAAAGGCATGCACAACTCTAGCTGCATACACAATCACCAAGGTTTCCAGTCACCTGCATTATACAGGTATAAAACCCCAAAGCTTTCAAGACCAGCCAACTCAGTCCAGCTCCTTTCACAAACCACTGACTATATTAAGGAAACTTACTTGTTCTCCAAAGTACTCAACATCTAGGGCCAGCTGCAGTCGGATTTTGTCGTCATCGCTCATGCCCCCATTTGTACCAACAGGGCTTGGGGTTGCAGTTTTTCTGGCCTGCTTCAGTCTTTTCAGGCTTTCTTCCATTTTCTTAACAGAACTTAACACATCAGATACAGTTTCACAATACCTAAAACATTAAGGGAGATTAATGACAAAAACAAATGAACAAAACACCCCCACACATCAGGATCTCACTGGCCCCAAGAAGATGTGGATTAATGCCTAGAAGAAATCTCTTGAGACGAAGCTACTGATATTTTAATCATTATCAGTTAATCAATATTTCCCTTCTTAGTAGTATGGGTGAACCTGAAGATTACAGTTCAGTCAGAAGGAGTCAGCAGCCTCCTTCTCATTGCATTTTTGACAAGTCCATAGTAAAAGATTTTGAACTCAAATAGAGACTGAGTAATGTAATGTCTCAATTCCAAATAAGCTGAGCTAGCTCCTATTTTCAGCAGCATAGCCTCAAGTAAAATTTTATCTAGAGACAGGGCAGCAACAACAGCCTGACAGACTAAAAATATGTGCATTTAGATGAGTTCTAGAAATGTATGTGCATATGCGAGCATGCTAGCCCATACCAAACAGAAGTGCCTGTTGTTAAATGACTATGATTTAAATAAGACCCTCAGGAAGTCTGCAGTAAGTCAGAAGAACACTAATAGCAAATTAAAATTGGTATAGATAAAAAAATCACCTTCCCACATACTGTGACACCCACTAAAGAAAGTTAGGCATCAAACAAAAACTAAAATCAAACAAAACAAAGATCATATAAAAAAAATCAGAAAGCTCTATGGACTAAAGTCCCACATGTAAGTAGGAAGGACATAGTATCACAGAAATTAAATCACTGTCCTGGGTATCTGTTAGTTACTAGGAGAAACTAAGGGCAGAAAACAAAATAAAATGAAAATAAGAATGACAAATCACCAGAACTGAAAACAGAATTTAATCGGGAGTTCTAGGGAATTAAGCAAATGAGCCTACAAAACATCTCAGCGTTTAAGCTAGTGCTTAGGTCAGTTTTGCTAACGCTGACATRTAAGGTGACAAATAACCTTTTGAAAAGAGCAGCTCAGCCTGGATCCAAGAAACTGCAGAACAACTTTGTGTGCTGTCASCAGGTTCACTGAAACTTTAACACAAGGCTTAGATACATACATACTTTTACATATATATACACACCCACACACACATATAAACACACCCACACACACATGATAATGTCATATATGATATATGTGTGTGTGTATGCTTTATGACTGCCTTATTAAATTTTTCTGGTATTTCCTACAAACACCATTGAATACAGAATTTCAGTTGTGTCTTACTACAACTACTACATTTAAGCGTTTCCCTATTTTCCATAGAGAGCATAGCTACCATAAACAGGTAGCTCTTCAACCTTTAAAAAAATCCAGAGCAAGTTTTAGGTCACTGTTGCACCACAACACTGAAGAGTCTCCCAATGCCCTCCCTGCCATCTCCTGCACGGCACAGACCCGAGCACAAGTCAGATACTYTAGATTCCCAGGCCTGATTTTCATTTCGTTAAATACACTATTTCAGAATAATTGTGAAGGACTGTACCATGCTAAAAGAGGCATATGCTCTTGTTTTTCTTTTTGTGACTGCTCAATGGATAGTGGTTTTTCTAATGCATGCCAAGAGTATTCTGTAAGGGTCTCTTACTTCTGTGTGCTTTCAGAGAGAGCACCTTCCAACCACTGATGAATCATAGGCTGCTTCAATATATCTTTGTATTCATTCTGCAGTCGGTAGAAGGGCTTAAGAGCACTGTCAACATATGGAGAAGCTTTTGTTGGCACGTCCTGGCAAATGAAAGGGAAACAAAGCAGGAAAAGTACAGGTAAATAACTGGCAAAAACATCAACGCCAACTGTAACACATAACACATATCTGAAGTGCTAAGCCTGTACCTAAGCCAAAAAAAACACACCCTATTCACAACAAATCCGTGAAGTGGTCCTCATACACAGGAAACGCACTACAACAAAGTAATTCAATGGTGATACACTACGGGATATACTATAAAACAACATTCAAAGCCAACAAGGCTTCTGAAGAGATGTACGTGCCAGGCAGCTACTGCTATTACTAGGGCATGACCCTGAGTGCAGTTTGCACTTTCTGCTCCTACTGAATTCAGGGAAACCTGAGGCTCTCAACAGCTTAAGAACAGGCTCTGTGTCCTCAACAGCCTCTTACTTGTATCTTTGTTAAAAAGATACCATTCCTATCATACTTCACTAAACTGCAGGTATTGTCCTCTTTATTCTTAATACCATCCTCCTCCCTCAGCCTACTTCACAAAACGTTCTTAGATGCTGGAGTTATCCCATCTTCTTCTGAGCCACCACCGGGGTGCAGGTCGCTTGCTCTCTCCAGGGATGGCCCATAGGTAGCTTGCATGGACCTCATCCACTGCAAAGGAACAGAACATGCCCAGGGTAGAGGCAATCGTTCCCCAGCTGAAATAACTCATTAACTTCTCCGAGGTTCAGGCCTCAGAACTCAGCCAAGTGCAAGGCTCTTCGCAAAGCTGATTCGTGATACAGAGACTATGATGGCAAATATTAGGCAACCCAAACAGTTGGTGCTTCCAAACACAGGACAAATAATAGAACTGCATGGTTTTTAATGCAATCTGCTTCACAAAATGTTACAAGTATATCCTCAATCACTTAATTACAACAGTATAACAGTATATACACAGAATATTCTGACTTCTGGTCTCGATTTTGCAATAGTCCTCAAAAAATTTAACAGTTTCTCCCATTAAGTTGGGTGACCAAACAGTAGGGGAAAAAAAAAGGGCAAAAAAAAATGTTATAGGGCTGGGAGATCCCAGGCAACACAGATCCTAGATGAAGTAATAACAGCCACCAGCTCAAACACCCTCTTTATTCCCTGCAGATCCCCTGGAGAGCCTGCAGCATGAACTGGGTGAGGGGATGATGCACTTGTGCAGGTTCACCAGATCTAAGGGATTAATCTGTGCTGCACTAGACCCAAGGGGCAGCGCCCTCCCTGAGCCCCAGAGGGAAAAGCCTGTAGACAGCAGGATGCAGAGGTAGGGAAGTAGTTTTGGAAGGGTTCAGGCTCCCAATGCTAGTTGCTAACTCCATTTGAAATGCGGGATCCAGGCGCCTCCAGACAGATCCATTTGGTTGCTTTGGCACTGCGGTCCCCAGCACTAAGCACTACAACGATCCAGACCCCACACAGTGGAACTTAATGGGAATTAGCCCTCCCAGGACAGGAGCAAGCTGGTGGGAAACCCAAGCTGCCTCTCTAGTCTTTATTAGTTCAGGCTTCATGCCACAGATTGAGTCAGACTGATGGCCAAAATGCTGTCACATTCACAGAGCTCAGAGCCCAAGTTAACTCCACTGAACAGAAGGCAGTTAGTTCCTACATCTCTATTTTGGCACATTAACCCATTAACTGGCTAAACAACCCATGGATAATAGAAAGCTGATGGCAATCCACTAAATCACTATGGAAAGTTTGTTTTGACATAGCTGAGCTAAGCCARGTATGGTATTTTTCCCCCTAGACTTACATATTTTATTCTCCTTCCTTAACAGAAGTTTAAGTAAAAATACTCTCTGTTAAACACAGAACAATCTAATCATTGCAAAGATGAATTATCACTTGCCATATGGTTGTTTTATCCCTTTAAAAATAATTTTTGATTAAGTATATCCTCAAAAGTAACAGTGTGAAAACTTTGAGCTGAACAAACTGAAGAAATAAACTACCCAGTTTCTCTTTCAGCTGACACTAGATGCGAACCACCCAAAGAAAACCTAATACTGTTGAAAGAAACAGACTTTCAAAATTTTCTATTTAGTCACTGAGCAAGTACAGCACTGCTGGAAGCAGATTCATGATACTTGGTAAAATGCTTTTGATTTTGGTGAGCACAGGCAGACAACAAACAAGTCACCAGGAAGCACAAAACCAGGAGCAGGGCGAGAGAGAGGCGAAGATGGGAGAAACTGCCCAGTTCAGAGCCACCCTCTGCACTGACACCAGGCAACAGTGTAGGAGTCTACGGTCCCCATTATTCCAGCATTCCCATGCTGCCTGAATGATTCCAGCACATCCTTCTTATGGAATATGACATGAAAGAAAAGTCATGTCACGCATTTTCTCAGCAACGTGCGTTGTCTTCCACAACAGTTCTACTCATTGCCCTGCCTTCCAGGCCAAGCCTGTCCCCTCAYCACCGTTAGGTAGCTAAGCTTTTGAAAATATAACACTTTTCAAAGAAGCAGTAAATTATCTCAAGTTCTTTAACAGGCTGGTGTAGTTGACTAATAAGCAGATACAAACAGGCATGGAAGAAGCCTTAAGTTCATTGCCCAGTCGATGTTCTTAGCAGAGGCCTTGCTGATAAAAGGCCTCTGGCTGCCACCTGCAACGAGCACTGACCTTATTGGTTCTCCTGTACAGTCTCGGGACTTCCAGGGCACTCTTCAGGCAAGTGAAGGCGGCCTCACTGAGATCCTGGATAATCCTGTTATTCAAGTTAGGAGTGCAGGCTGCTAAAGAAGCTTTTGAGTCTTCCAAGGCTCCTATTGAAGTAAAAGTGCTGCAGTTTAACTGAAGTTAAACTGCCCAATCACAATATAAACAAATCTTGTGAGACTCTACTACCATCCCGACCTCACTCCCTATCCTAGATGGTTGCTAGTGTCAGTAAACATATATACATACTAGTGATAAATCCTCTTACCAGTTGTTTCTCAGCCACAAAAGGGGATGGAGGTAAGCAGGGGAGAGTAAGGCACATTCAGGGAAGGGCTCTGAATCACAAAAGGGCAGATTTACTAAGGAAATTATTYWAAAAATATATTTGCATATACTTTATATAAAAAGTATATAATAATATATAATATAAATACATATTATATTAAAACATATCTATATAAATGAGAAAGGAACTCCTGTTGTGCTCKAAAGTTGAAGTATTCAACAACCAAAGTTCAGTAACTCTCCTCCTYGCATGATTCACAGGGCCAGAGCGAGCTCTTCCTGTACAAAATTTCAGTACAATATTTGCACTCGACAATGCCAAGTTCCTTTTAGAGGGAGAAGAGAGGCCCAGCTGTGGAGGTTCTGTACCAAAGTACCCAGGGAGCCTGGACTGGGCATAAGACTTGGTCAACTAGTTCAAATTTCTGGCTTTGAAGATAGAACTTGGAACTATTCTGGATCACCAACCATCAAGAGAAACTGAGACAAGTAACTGGGCCAAGGTGGTGGTAACTCGGGACTGTAAAGAAGTTTAAATACGTATGTGCCTCTTGGCTTGGGGGAGATTCAGAGGACTGTAACCTCAGACCTCACACAAGCTTTTAGCTTGGATGCAAAAACAGCACTTCAGATTAACTCAAGTCAAAGTTTTTCCAGATTTGGTATTTCTGTTCAGGGTAGTTTCCAGGTAACAGCTTAATGTTAATGTAGGGTTCGTTAAGTAACAAAATGGGCAGCATTCTTTTTTTTTTAATTGTAAATAAAAATGTGTAAAAGCTCTTTTGGGTTGACAGTGGGAACTTGGGATAAAGGACAAAGACGCTGAAGTCAACCTTTCACCTTTACCTGCAATACAAGACATATTCTTGAAGCCAATCATTTCAAGCTTTGGTTTCACCATCTCTAAAATGTCAGGAATCTGGGAAAAARATACAAATATGTTATGAAAGTATTTGAATTATTCCTACATTCCACAAACTTGCAGTAGATCAAAAGATAAGACTACTGTGTTTAATCTTTTCTCAATTTTTACTGCTTTATCTGAGAAGTCAGTAACAGCAGAATGCAATACTCATAGTCAGTAAGTTCTACTACCTTACCAGAGCCCTCACAGGAAATAATTCAGGATTTGGTAGAATATTGTCATCTCAGACGCAACTTGCAATTTCAGAAGTTACAGAAATTTCAAMCTTATTTATCAAAAAAGAAAATTTATATAACAGAACATTACTAAAATAAAATCATGATTATAAAAGCCTTCTGAGGCTCAAATATTAAAAACAGTAAATACAAAAAAGAATAAAACTCTACTAAACCTGAATATTACACYATGTGCTGAGATACATGAGATTTCCCTTCCAAATTGGGCTAAGTCCAGCAACTACTGATAAAAATTTTAAATATCTGAACTGATTTTTCTGTAATCTGTCACTCACTTTAAGCACAGAACAGACCCTTCATCTCAAGTGATTTTTTTTGTATCAGACTATCTCCTTTTCAGGCTTTAGAAGAAAAAACATATTTTAAATAAACTAGCTTATAGCATCTATAGCATTATAGATGAGTGAGAAACCTCTGAGTAAAGAGGCAAAAACAAACCTGGTCCTGGAGTTTATCCAGATCTGCAGCAATATATATCAGTTGAGTACTGGTTATGGAAGGCAAGGGCTGAGTTTCCKGAGAGGACCCATTCCCTTGGTCCTCATTAGGGCTTAAGTTTACAGAAGATTCTTTTCTACCAGGTGCCACAGATTTTTTGCTTTCCTTCACACTGTCACTAGAAATGGGCCTTGCATAAACCTGAAACATCATATTGAGGGAAAAGAAAAAAAAAAAAAAAAAAAACACAGCGAAGGCTGATGAAGCCAGATACATACAGAAGGCATAAAAAGAATTGCTAAGTTTTCTTCATTAAAACGCATGCGTGAAGGATATCGACACTGCTAGCTTACATAAAAACATATTTATAAAGCGGTTTGGGATGTATTACAGAGTTGGAAGATTCTGAGCTTTTTTATACTATAAGGCAGTCTCTTTGTTAATAGCACGTATTGCAGTGACAGCTTTTTAAAAGCATCATAAATTGGCTAAAAGTGTTCTTAAGTTCTTTGAAGTTTGTGACTTAAAGAGGCCTTTTTATTTTTATTTTTATTTTTATTTTTATTTTTATTTTTTCCCAACTTTTAATTTTTATTTCCCTCCTTCAAAAAGTCTCCTGCTGATGGACATAACCAATCACAAGCATAAGGAGGTTGTTCTCTTACCTCACTAATAAACACAGAGTAGCGGGCCAAGATTTGCAGGCTAAGCTTCCACAGGCGGTGCGCTAACAGCGGCAGAAACATTTGATCAGACCAGCACTTCTGAAGGCTCTGCCAGACCATGTGAGTCGCTAAAAGACAATACGAGCTCCCAGCTAAAAATAAATACAAAACAAAGGTTCATTTCCAAATAATACTTGGAAAAGATGTAACATAACGTATTTATATTATCTCAATTTATCTTTCAAAAAGATACCATCACAAAGAAGCAAAGAGGATTTATAAAGCATTGTCTGAAACAAAACTATTAATATCTCCACATTGCTTTGATTTCACATTCTGCTAAGTCACACCGTAACTGCAAGAAAAAAAGAAATGAAAATCTGCCCGCAGAAAACTCACTATTAACTTGGCCAAACAATACACTTCGTAAGTTAACAGTCCAGGGCAATTTCTGACTGTCTTGTAACCAGGTTTTAATAAAACTGCAGTTTCTCTCACAGTTACATCCAAAGAATCCGTTACAAATATTTATTGAAAACACTGTAAAAATATTCTTACTGAAAAACTAGCATTTCTAAGCAGTTCAGGAAGTAACATTTCATAGCATACAATTTGAGCTAARGAACCTGTCTGCAAGTTCTGGATACACACTGTGAAATTATAGGACTTAGGCATTTCTTCATTTCTCCTGTCTTCAGTTGTCCTTAAAAAGTAATTATCATGTACATATATATATATATGCACACAAGAATTTATTTTATATACTCATACATATTTTGTTCTTAGCTGTCTTCAAAGGCATTCACTCAAAAGAAGTACCAATTTCTCTGTTTGCCATATATTTTTAAGGAATAAATCAGGTTTCCTGYTCTGCTCTAATCTTTTTCCTTTTCTATTTGCTATGCTTGCTTCCTCATTTACTCATAAACCAATTTACATTTTTGGAGCAGAGAGCAACACTACAAAGGACAGCAAGGCTAAATGCTGCCAACAGACAGTCATTTCCCACCCTGCATAGTTCTGTACCAGATAACAAAAATGTGTCCCAACAGTGCAGTGCAGTCTCTTGGCCAAATGCCAATTTAGGAGGCCAAATGTCAATTTAGCTTCTTCTTATGCTGAGGGGACAGGTTCACAACACCTTGTTGGCTACTGTAGACAGGCTGATTTCAGGAAAATCATGGAACAGCAATTAATCAATTGACCAGAAAAATCACATGATCTCCCAGAATTCATGCTTCTAAATATTTAAAAGGGAGAAAATAACGACCAAACCATAAGGCATTTATTTMTTTCAAAAAGAGAAATTACTGATTTTGTAAAATAAAAATTTACCTGGGGCTTCTTCTAGTGTATCTGAAAGTGCTTCTTCTAAGGCCCCTCCTATCTCTCTAAACCTGAGAGAAAAGCATTGAATATTACAAATCAAAAATTGTGCAACTTGATGCCTAAACATTTTTCAGTATTCAGACCTTTTGCTGTATCAGTGCTCATACACAAATGGCTTTAAGCATTTGTTTTCCACTCCATATAAAATAGGACTGATAGTGAAAGAGAACCTTTGACATTATACAGAAAGAAAACTTGCACACTGAGAAAACTATTAACGTTATAATCCCAAGCCATATCAGAATAAAAGCTCACAGATACTGTCAAGTCCTTAGCTCTTTTTATGGAGGTGGAAGGAAGTTTTTTTGGCAAGCGTTGTTCTTTTGACACTGAAAGTCAACACATTGTCTCATATTTGCTTTAGCTGTCCTTCAGGTATGACATGTGACATTGGAGCCTTCAGCTTTCTATATGTTTGTTAGTTAACACTGACACTAGGTTCAGCAAACAATTCTGTACTGAGTTACCAAAAATCAACAATTCCTCACTGGGGGCCTTTTTTTTAAAAAAAAAATAACACATATGCATACATATACATATACACACACACACACACAAAGAACTACAAAAGCAAAAGTTCTTACTAAATGCTCCAACTACTTTCCATATTGCAAGATGTATTAAGCAAAATACTGTGCTATTTATCTACCTAAAAATTGTTACGAGCTGTACGAATTTCTTCCGTTTTCCCCAACACTGAAAAAAGTGACCATTTTCAGCTTCTCCACGAGCAGTTCCTTCCTCATTGTATTTTCCCCCTTTTTTTATTGCTTTCATGTGCCCTACAGCAACTCTGTAAGCCTCTCTATCCAACTTGCTGATTATGGTCCTGCATAGATCTTCAGAGCCTCTTAACTCTCATGTCGAGACCAGTGCCGGGCSCATCTGGTTCTTCTTGTTCAGCATCCTGGTGCCTCTGACTCAAGCAGCACCGGCCAGCGACAGGGAAGGACCCTCTCTCTCTCCTCAGTGTCACTTAATCACCAGCCGGGGGCAACTRAAGGTGTCCCAGAATAATTGCTGAAGCAGCTCCAAGCTGGCAAAAGGGTTCAAAGGCCCAGACCAAACATTCTCAAACTACCTCATTTTCTGAAGGGAAAATCTGTTCCTCAGAGGATTGTTTGTACAGACTTTAGCAGGAATGCTAAATAGCCACTAACAGTTCAATAAAAATCCTGTGTAACTGGAGGATATTAACACACCTCAAGGAAGAAGTTCCTCTGATACACAAAATGGATACCTCTTATTTTTTCCGCAATTCTGCACTAAAAAATTCAGGTGCAACTCTGGAATTTATCGGACACTTCCAGTATACAGGAGTGATGAGAGTTGAACCAGCTGCTGTTATCTGACTTACTGGAAATAGTGCACTATTCACAGCAATCTTAATGGAAAAAGTTATTTTTTTTTTTTTACAGCTAATAAATATAAAATAAGTCAGAGCTCAAAATATCTAATAAGAAAAAAAAAATTTTGAACCAAAGGAATAAGCTGAAACTCTATTTCAATTTTATGAGCAAACATATTGATGCTTGATCAAACGGCCACTTACTAGAAAAGTTGCACTTTCAACAAGAAGGGGAAGATTCACAGACCTGCTAAGGACATACATTAGTTGTTAAAAGGTTTATAATTGCTGTAGTCCATGGACTCTTTCAGCCTGTGCAGAGTCAGCACTGCTACTGTACTGAGTGCTACTGCCTTTTCCCTTGGGCCGGCACCAATATTTGTACAGYAAAGTGGTCTGGAGAAATGGCTTGAAGTTGCAAGTCAGTGTTGTTTTTCCCAGAGTTATCGGTGCCTGCAACTGGTTCACGACGCAGCCGCAGGAGCAGCTCCGGCAGCAAAGAGAAACGCAGAGCTGTCGGGGGAGGTTGGGGCTGCCGCTCTACAAGGCGCAGCGAGTCACTGAGGCAGCGACACGGCTCCCGGGCTCGTGCTCCCACCACTCACTGTGCATCAGCTCCAGCACTCCTGGGATTCCTGCATGGGACTTTTCAGCAGCGCTTACTGTRTAAATGTGGCTGTGGTTATACCACTGTAACCATTTAGCACGTCATGCAATAAGCTAGRTCACTAAAGTACTCCTGGTTAAAAAGCAATCAATCAATCATCCATATTTTCTTTGCGTAGTCTTTCTTGTAATTCTCCCACTCTTTCTTTTTTAATTCCAGAAAATTTGAGTAATCTGATATACAGTTCAACCCAATAAACATGTGCAGTGCAAGAAATAAATAGGCTGGACATTGTGAAGGATGGGCAAGAAAACTGTGTACTTGGTTTCCCTAGCAGAGAAAAGGTATCAGTTGACCRCAATATTGAAGGGTATATTTTTAAGGTAAAGCACAGCACAGACAGTCAGTGCAGCGCAGAGCTTGCTTGCTCAAAGCTAAAAACAGTGTATTAAAATCATTTTAACAGAGGGGACTAATCTACAGTAATTCTCAAACCAAGTAATTCTTACTCCAATATGGATAGAAACTGAAAGGGGTGTGGAGCAGAAAGCTGGGGCAGGAAACTTGTAGCTGCCTGTACTTCTGACCCCCTTCCCAGCTCACACCACCGGGTCACTCTCGGAGCAGACAACAAGAAGGTGTGACCCTAAGCCAGACCTTCTAGTTGTAATTAAACTCTGCTTCTAAGAGAGGAAGCAACAAAAACAACAACAAAAACCCCAACAAATACTAACCTTATTTGAAAATAAACAGGCAAATTCCATTTGTTGTTAAAACTGTGGTAGGAAGGATGAGATCTTAATCTTTTCACACTGGCCTGTGAGCCACACTGTCGTTCAAATTTCCGCACGAAATCCATACTAGCAGTGTACTTCTGTGTAAAGAGAAGGAGCACTCTCATCACTAGCAGCATCCCATGGAACAGTGAAGACCACAATCTATTCAACACTACTGCCGAATCAGACTAAAGGTAAGCTCACGATTTAGGGTGGGTTGAGAGTGGCCCAGCAACTAACTGTAAGGTTTCAAAATCCTGGACTGCAGAACTGAAATCAAGAACCAGTTATCCAACAGATACCAGCTCCATGATAAAGAAAACTGGTTTATGGACTAAGTTGTTAACTCACTGCTACAGTTTTTAGAAGTGTTCTGCACAAAACTGTCTGCATGAGCAGCTCTGCCAACCCAGAAACTGAACCACAACAACAGCCTGGGAAAAGGGAGAAGAGGAAAGGTGGCAAAACAGTGCCATACAGCACTGGGAATAAGGAAAAGAAAACAACAAAGGTAAATAAACTAGAGATGAAACAATCAAACAAAAAAATACACATATCCAAGCATACAGGAGAACAAAAACAGGATTTCACCCTTTCCCCATTTTATACAGGATCTACAGTATGGGAAGCTGGTTCTCTAAGGATACCCTGTTTTGTAAATCCTAARTATTTGCAACAGAATTTGGAACAATTCTAGCTTACCCTTTCAAAATGCACTCTTTTAACTAGATGTTTAGAAACAGTATTAGTATACCAGCAAGCAAAGAGAAATTACATTAATTCTCCAAATGCACTTTGGGCTTATTCTCAACTCTAAGCTATTAATATCTAAACAGTAACAAAATAAAAATTAAAATCATTGGCAGTGTTTTGTGAAACAAAAAGCTACAAAACATTTGAGTTAAAAACAGAGCTCAAATAGTACATCAAAATTCTAAGTCATTTAACACAACATGAAAACTAGATGAATCTAGGAGTCAAAAATATAGCTTGCTATATCCAAATTTCAAGAAAAAAAACACAGAGAAATCAAATTGAACCTGCTTTTCTGGAATTAGAATGTGCTTATTAAGTCATTGCCGACTTTATGAAATAAGCCTGAGTGAATTTGAGTGTTTCYGACTGCTGCCGTGAGAGCATCAGGACTGAGAGCTTTAGCATGACCCGCAGCACTATGTAAAGGATGTACCGAGACTCCTAAGCAGCAGTGAAGCATCAACAGCCCAGTAAGAAGCCCAGAGGGGCTACTTACAGCTTCTGCTCTCAGCTTTGGCAATGCAGGACCTGCCCCGACTCAGGCAAGAAGCTCTGGTGCCAGGTGCCTCAGGACGCCTGGAAGCTTCCCTTAAGGATATAACTACAGTACCTATTTCTTTTGACGTGAAGTTTCAGTGTATGAAAAAAGACACTTTGGAAATTGCACAAAAGCTTTTAAGTAACCAATTCTGTTCCAAYGGGGCTTTATTACAAGACAGGGGAGTTGTAAAAGGTACAGAAGTTAAATGCAGAATGAATGGCAGCTTAGTGCTTTTTCAGGCCTCTTTTCTTAGACARTCAACCCAGCACTCCAGAAAGGCAAACAAGACATTATTGCTCTGCTGCCTTAAGTATTAGTCAGCGATATATAAACCACATACTCTAAAAAGACCTACCACTTTCAAAACCAGAAGACAACTTAGAGATATTTAGCTCATTATCAATAACCTTCCAGAAGTAGGAAACTGCGAGACTGTTTCCCATTCCAGCTTCTAGGACTTTTCTGTTGGTTCCACAAAGTTATTTAAGAGAAACTAAAGCAGAAAACAAATGCAGTAATTTTCAAACACAGGAATGTAAGCTTACAGTCTCAAAGCCATATTTAAACATTAAAGCAGGGACACTTTAAAAGGTCTGGATCAGACTACGAATCTGACTATGAAATAAGGGCACAACAACCTGAAATAGTTTAAATGTCAACGAAAACAAAAAACAAACAGAAAAATCAGTCCAACCCAAGTAAAGAGCTATTTGGACTTATATATCTATGACTGCCAGGCTATGTTCTACTGGATTATTTAARTATACACACACATTCTTTTTTCTTTCATCCCCTCCCTCTACCTATAACACTGCATACTCCAACTTCTCTGCATTAAACGCATGTAACACCCATCTAYAATGCAACCAAACGAAACTGGGGATGATTTTTCTGCATTTTTATCAACTCAGAAAACAGAACTACCAGATAACTTCCTAAAATCTGCACTGTATTATTTGTATTATAAGCATTGCAGGAAACAGTTTTAAACTCTTGTTGTTGCTGTTCTTAGTTCCTAGCTACTCCTATTAGTCTTTACACAGAAAACTCCATCTGTAATTCTGTGATAACACTTGACATTTCAACTTAGAAATTTCTATGATATTATTATATTTCAGTGATGACAGTATTGGTCACTGTCAGTTACGATGACCACAGCCATTATAAATGGCCAGTCRTTTTAAAACTAGTTTATATAAAACAGTGCACTCAGATCTTGTGAAGATAAGAAACATCTTTTATGTAAAGCAAGTAGCCCAGAGGAGAAAAAAAACAGTGCATTTCACAATTTGTGCTCTGCAGTGCTTTAGGTAAAGGCTTCCAGAATGACTGATGATTTAAGGGAAATCAAAAAATATTCTCATCGAGAAACCTACCGTGTCATTGCCATTTTTAACCTTTTTTTTTTTTTTTATTTCCTTGTATGCTTCTTATTTAGACCCATTTCTGCAAATACTTATTCTCATGCTTGCCTGCCATTAGTTATTCACTATATCTACATAGAAGAGATCGTAAGAAGTCAAAAGCAAAGCTATGTATTTAGTAGTGACACTTCCTGAACACAGAAAACATTTACTCGTGAACTTCCCTTAGCACAACATTTAACATTACCCTATATTTGTCCTAATCTTCTTTGCCTGGCATATCCATCTGGAAATTTTTTTCATACTAATTGCAAATCATCTTGCAAGAAAAAAAAAAATCCAAATCTTCAAGCAATCACACATAYATGGACAGAGAGCACATGAGGTAGAGCAGAAATCTCATATTTTCCCCTTTGAGACATTTTTATTTTTATTAATCAGTGCCTGAACCTATCTTCATGCTAGGCCCAGCAGTCTGTTCCACCAGTATTAAGAAATCATCTTTTAGAGATGCAGAGCAGCTCTGTTCCCAAAGATGAAAATACATGAGTGATAAGTACTTCAAATTAATTTTAGAATACAAGTCRTCTCATACAGTTTGTGACACTAAAGAAAATAGTTCTTGCATGTTCTAAACCTTCCCACACATTGCCTCCAAGCATTTTGGTTCTTCGAGCTGCCTTCTGTTGCTTTCCAGTCACATCATCACCAGCAGTACTGCAAGAGTGCAAAGGCTACAAGCAGCAGAAGCAGCAACGAATTTCCTAATTTTCCTAATTTTTCCTCAGTACAGCACAAGCTGTAACCCAGATATTTAATTAACACAACAGCCCTTCCCAGGCCTGGACAAACACTGGAGTCATCTGCCCCTGCCTCCATTTATGGAGCAATTCTACAACTAAGAGAGAACATTTGCTTTGGCAGTAGATGTTAAGGCCAAATTCACAGAATTAAATGACTTCCAAAAAGTTCTGTACGAGGCTTGCAGACACATCTGATAGAAGAATTGAGTCCTGTGGATATTAAATCAAGTGACATGAGGTAACTTCCTCTAAGACATGCCAAAATACGAATTTACACATAAGTAGCAGAAGAAAAGAAAAGCTAGAGAACACGACTCATTCAGTTCTTCTTTGCATCGAAGGAATGACAAATAAAACAAAGCAAAATTAATTACCTCGTGAAATACATCTGGGTTTCCAGGGTTAAACAGTGATGGTAATTTCTCTTCTAAACCACGTACTATTTCTGGCCACACTGAATTGACTAAGAAATCATATCCAGGAACAATATTTGCTTTTTCACTGAAATAAAATTGCAATTATTCCAAGGTTATATTTCACTCCTAGGCTTCTATTCAGAGATAGTGATAACTAAAATACAAGGACTGAATTAGAAAAAAAATGTAGTTAAGTTTTTGTTTAAAACAAAATTTGATTTGCTTAAACTGCTCTTCCTTTGAAACTTCCTATCTGACCCTAGTCTCACCAAATGCAAAATATTTTTACAACTCCAAAAATGTTTTCAAATTTTATCAGGTATTTTGCAAGTGTGTTTTGGAAAGTACCTTCCAGTTGTTAAAATTGAAAATATGCAAGTAAAAATAGGAGTAACCAGGTCCAAACTTCAGAGATATCAATAAGGAATAATGCAATGGAAGGAAATGAAATACTTGCATAATTTTTCTAAGTTGTATTTATATATGATTTTGTGCTTCCAAGCAAAAGATTGTTACCTGGCTCTGGAAATGTAAAAATTCAGAGTAGAAAATACACAAKTACAAACTAGAATCATTCTGTTATTGAGAGATTAAAATTTACTGAGGGATTAGAAGAATTGAAATGTTAGAAAAACTAAAAGTCACTAAGAGCTCAGGAATGGATGACTAATTAGAAAGCAGTTCTGCACTTCCTAGGGGTTACATCCCTAGCTCTGCTAATCAGAGCAGTCCACTAAACTTGCCTGTGGACAGACAAGTAAGTGGATACAACTGTGCAGACCTCAGTCATATGAGCTTCAAAAAAGGCAACCTAATTGCAAAAGGAATATGCACTTTGGGCAGACAGGGGAAGTACTACACAAATCAATTAAACCATGCAACCTTGATTTAGTTTTGCTACTGGAGTACAGGATTCTTTCCTTCATTCCTCTCAAGCTTGGACCTCAGCACCAAGAAAACTGTTCATTGCTTTGGTTTTAAAATCATGGACATGAGAAATCAACCTTGACTATGAATCTTCAGGAAAGACCAGGTAAGWCATCTTTGTAAGAGAGGTAATTTTGCAAGTCATTTCCTCAGCACGTGACATTAACTTTTGACTGCATTTGAAAGAAGCCCCAAGATTCTTACCTTGAAATAGCTCCCCCCGTGACCTCACGCAAGAGCCGACAGTGATGGGGAACAAACTCCAGCAGTCTATTGTACATGGCCTGGAGGCCGTTGGGATGCGACTGAACGTACTCTTCCACAATCACCTGCACAAAGAGCTCAGTGTTAATTGCGGAAAACTGAATGCACTATAGTAACCTAAGAATTACAGCCGACTGACACAGAAGTTTTAATGCTATAACCCCAAACACCACAATACTCAGGCTATTACTTTTTTTTTTTTTTTTTTTTTCCTCTCCCCAAAATGATACAGAGTTCAGCTTGCCAGCTTGGATTATTATCTTCCTTCATGCAGCACTAATCAGTTTGACTGGCCACCAGAACAGGAAGGGGCTTCCACCTTTTAAATGTTAGCCACTGCACCTGGCTTCCTACCCACAGCACACATCACCAGCACCTGAAACGGTCTATAAAGTTAAAGGGTGACTGACAAGAATTTTCTTATAACCAAAATTGGTGGTAGACAGATACAGAATTTTTCCATTCTCTTCCTTAAACAGGAATAACAAATACACTGAAATTGTTCTACAGGTCAAAACAGCAAAAGGCTGTTTTGAAGTTGCTAACCAGAGCTGGAGAAGAAATACACGTTTCCAAGTCTTTTTTTTCTAGATTTATGATTTTATCTTACCTCATCAACATAAGGTTTTACAAGCACTTGACCAACCAACGCCTCTGCATCTCGTGTTTTGTCAATAGTAGCGTACGTGCGAAGACAGTGCCGTATTATGTCAACATTGGAAGTCTGCAGGCCTTCCAAGAGCAGCCCTTCCAGGGACTGCTGCAACATAGCTGTTATTCCAGCGATGCGCTAGGAAAAACAAAACCAAAATGCAGTTAAACAAAAGAAACAACAAAAAAACCCCACCTCAACACAAGCACAAAAACAAAGCCATGCCATCGTTACCGAAGTAAACTTTTTTGAAAGTAATAATTTAAATTTTGATTGAAAGGTACACAAGTTGTGCTGTGGCTATTAAGTACACATTAAAACAAGCTAAAAGGCTTGCAGGTGCCTGCTAACAAGTATTTACTACAATAAATTAAAAAATGCAATTAAGTTGAAAGTTATCTGGTAACTTAAGGTCACACTTATACTGAAGAAAAAGGTCAGTAATTGTTCCCTGTTCACCACTGTCTATGTTAACACACAAAAGCTTTTCAGCATCTATCTCTCAGGGTCAAAGACTAAAGTAACAGCAACTTCCCAGCACCACTTGTCACATTACTACAAAACAAAGACATTGGAATACACTGGCAAAAAGTGGCCTGCCATTAGATGGCTTCTGGTTTCTGTCAAACAGCTACTTCTGTCAACAAATATTCTGGTTTGCTAATCACTTTTCCTGATCKCCTGCAACATCTCCTTCACTAAATCCAACTCATTGCTACACTCCCTAGATATACATCTGGCCCATGACASTCCATTAGAATTCTGTATTTGAGGCAATTTCAGCATTACACATAAGTTTACTTACAGCTGAACTACCATCTTCAGCACTCAAATCTCCCCTTGTTTTTTTGTACACTATGTTCATTCACCTGTGATCTTTTTTTAATGATTGCAGACTCCATTTTGAAGATCTGAAGCCACTTACTCAATTATTTACTAGTCAAGAAAATTATGATTTGATGGTCCTTAGAAGCAACATGTACAGGACACAGTCCTGGTGAATTTCATTAAGGAACTGACATAGTGGGGATACATCAGGGGTCCTCCCACCATGAAGTATTACTGTATTTTTCRCAYTTAGTCTTATTATCAGMCATCCTCATAGAYTGGTGTCCCAGRCAATCTTGTGAATTACCCCTGAATCAAACTGGTATTATCAAAGTCTTCACTGAAACAAGCTTAGAGTGTCATRTGCATATAAGGAAAAACTAGAATGATGAAGTACCTCACTAGCTCAGAAAGCCAGCAAGGATGACAGCTTCCACGCTAATCAGTTTCAGGTATTTCCCCATCTTTATCCTGCACTACTGAAACTGCCTTCCTTTAAATACTAGTCAAATGGAAGGGAAAAGACAAAGGTAAAAACAAAGACAACAACAACAACAAAGAAAAGCATTCATATTTCAGAATAAATGGTTATTAAAAAGAGATGAGTCTCCTGGCTTGGATACCCTGATTTAGGCAACAAATATCACCAAATAACAAACTAAAAATAAATAAATAAAATTCAAATCAATCACTAAGTATTTGTAAATGATCATTTATTTTCAGGTCTGTAGAGGGCAGTTAAAAAAAAATAGTATAAACCTCCATAAAATCTCTATAAGCCTGCAGGCCTCATGAACAACAACAGAAGGTGTAATAGGTCGACAAAAATACGTCTGCTCTATTTCCTAGTCTTATTTGAAGTTACTTCTCCTAGCAAAGTTAGGAAACAAAGCATCAACACTCAGAGGAAATAACACTTCTAGTCAAATGACAGAAAAACTTCTTGAAATTCATTTCCCCCATAAACAAATTAAATAGAACTCTAAGGAATAAGACATTTGTCTGCTAATTACCTTCCTTTTGCTTGATCCTGTGAGTGTTAAAGTGACTGTTTTGCAATACTTACTGGTCTCACTTTGTCCAAAAGGGGCATTCCTTTACTTTGCACTGCATGAAATTGTAGCTGGTTAAATTCTGTGGCAATTCTCTCTAAAACTTGTCCAGTTATAAGTGGGCTGGAACAGAGATGATATATGCAAAATGAGAATACACAGTAAGAGCTTTTCAAATCAGCTCCCTTTGATTTGAAGCAGATGGATACCATTGGCCCCATGTTTTTGCAATAATGCAAGGCACAAAGCAGAAGCTGCAAGGTCTGGCCTCAGCAGTACAGATCATTCTTTTCTGGGATGTTGTTGCTTCCTGTCATACGAAAAGCCAGTTTTGGAAAGCTCAACAACTATGTGAAGAGCTCTTCACCATCCAGATTTGTTTCTCATTTCCTTTCGCTATCACGTGGGGAAAAAATCAAGGTCAGGCATCTCTAGATTAAGTCCTACCTTTCTCACTTCTAAACAGTACCACCAATTACTCTAAATTTAGCCACTACAGCACAATCCAGATTTGATTCTGCAGACTGCCTCACCTTTCCTGAAAAGGTTTATATATGYTTTGTTTCTCTAGATATTAATCAGTTATTTTGCCCATCTCTCCCCATTCATTACCATGTGGTCTAGTATACAGAACTAAAAAGCACTACAGAGAGTTTCACATTAGGATGAGGACATGAAATTGTCTTTTTCTTCCATCGTAAGTTGCACTTTACTTGCATCCAGCACATAGCTAGTGCACCAGTTCCACAACTGGCAGAAAGAAATCTTCCATTSTTTCCCACAGGTAAAGGGAGAGGTTACTTTCTATGGAACTGTTCAATCTTGGSAGCCTGACCAGCTTTTGTCACAAGGGTTTTCCTCTGCCAGAGGTACTGCCTGTGTGGTTTGCCTGCTTCAGACTATTCTCACATCAGTCTTCTCATCAGTCTTCTCATTTATATATAGCCAGAGAAAAGGAGGGGAAGGAGAAAACCTGCAAACTAACTTCAAAGTGCACATTATCACTGATCGCATGTCAAATAATTCAGAAATTGGGAGACTGAGTACTGTGACTAACTAGCAGAAGATTAATTCTAGGAAAAGTTTTAAACTGACAGCYACTTACTTCATCACAGAGTTACTGTCTAAAAATTAAACATTATGTTTGCAACATTCTGCTAYGACATTACTAAATTAAGTCAAGCAGTTACCAGCAAAATTGATTATTTATTACCTGTTTCCCTCTAATGAGGAGAATTCTTTAGTGCTTTGTGAATGTAGAATTTTCTCAATTTTTTCAACAGACTGAATAACATGAATAAGTCTCAGGACACACATCTGTAAATAAAAAAAAAAAAAAAAAAAGTAAATGTCTGCCCTCAATCCCCATTTGTATTATGAATAGCACTGAAGACTTTTTGGCTGGTGTCCATTTTGCTGGTGTAACCTTTATCCCTACTTTTTAAATAATGTCTCAGTTAAAATGGTGCTCATATAGGTCCATAAAAGCCCACAAACAATGTTACAGTTGGAAATTTTTATTCCTCATTTATTCCAAGCTGGGCAGAATGACCAATGTTAGATCATTTCTATCCCCCATTTAAATTTTTATTTCAATTCCATTCACAAATAYATATTCAATCAGAATTAGGTGGAAAAGACCAATTAAAGTTTAAAAAGTCAACCAAATCCAACCTACATGCTTTTGGTCAATAGAATAAAACATACATTTACATTCAGTTAGACATCGTAAATAAGCGTGCCATCCAAAACTTCAAAAACTGTTTTATAAGTGCAAAAGCCTCTGTAAGGTATATATCTAGATGACCAAGAACTTAGAAAACRTATTTTTCTTTGGTTTAATGGCCAAAACAAAAGACATCCTAACAAAACCTTTTCAGTGAAACAATCATTTGCTCACTGTACCTTTTTTCTTCTAATATCTTCTTGTTTAGACATCCGATCATCTACTGCTTGAATTCCTTCACTGACACATGACTTAAGACTCTGTGAGAAAGAATTCAGTATGAATTGCTGGCTACCCATCACAAAGATATATAATATATATATWAAAGRTATAACATTTTAGAAACGTTATATCTTTAAAGTTAAAGCTTAGATTTTGAGTTAAAACATTTGCTAGTACTCACATAGTGCTATTTTTCTACTTATTCCCCTCCTCTAAAATCTACTCAAAAGGTACACTAATAAAAAGAAATGAGAGAGTACAACAACTTCTTTCAAAATGAACAGATCAGAAATAAAATAACTGAAAGTATAACCTGTTCTCAAAGTATTGCCATCACAAGTATCATTATTTCAGGCAAAATTGTTATTTTAGTTGCTTACAGAGGATAAACTGTACATTTACCTTTCACACAAGACTAGGCAATAAATCAAATGTGATTTTATGCCTTGAAACAAAAGTTATAAATCAGACTTAGAGTAGCATTTCTCACACAATATAAAAGGTGCATATAGCATAGAAATGTTTAACATCAAGACTGAGATATTTTGAAAAAACATTTATGCAACAGACATCTCTCTGAAACAGCTGCAAAGAGAAAGATCATGAAGAATTGCCCTTCACTAATTTCAAGCCACTGTAGGAGGTTAAGAAGAAAATAGAATACAAAAGGTCTTCTAGAGCATGATCTTTAACAGTAAAAAATATGACTGAGCAAAAAGTGTACGTTATATCTGACTTAGTACCATCTTTAAATTATTCAGGTTTTAATATTTCACTATATGCTCATCTTGCAAAGGTCTGTTCATGTAYATACTTAAAGAATCCTTTAAACCTTGGCTGTAAGGCACTGTAAAGAGAGCTTATTGCTACTACACCTGCATGAAAGCACAATACCTCTCATTACCTTCACTAACAGGCTAATTGTCAAAGAATAGTYCTTTAAAATAATTACTAACATAAATAATGCATATCTGTATCATATGGAAGTGATCTTAAGTTTACCAAACTGGGTATAATAACTGGTTTGTTTAGAACATACCAAAACTTCTTCTCGTAACTGTCCCAAGGGTACCGAGAGCTGATTAAGAGCCTTATCCATACCAACCTAAAGAAATCACCATAAAAAAAAAATCAAGTTCATATGTGACTTAGTGAGAGTCATCATTTTATAGATACTGGAAAAGATACTCCCCCTTTATATAGTCTTCAAGCACAATGCAAAGATATGTTCTCTTAATGCCTCAAACGGAGGCAGAAAGAAACAAGACTGTCGTGTAACACCAAAAATGAAAGAAAACCTAGACCTATGAAATCTACCTTCCAATATCTCAATTTTCAATGCCATATAACCCAATAAATTGCAGTGAAGAAGCAAATACAGTGGATAATAAGTCACTTTCATCYGAGAATGAATTACAACTTGCAGTTGAGTCAGTTTTTCCTTACTTACTATAGTCAACATACTTTCAAGATTCCTGAAAGAATCCCTTGAAATGGGCAGATTTGTATCTTTCCATTCAATTTAAATGACTTATTCAAGTTTTACAACTACCACCAATTAAAAAAAAGGGTTTGCCTTAAATGTACCATAATGAGTTTAACCATTTTAAGAGAAAAAGCATTACTATGGCATAACAGCAGTTTTGCACAACTCTTCACATAYGTGAAGCAGCACTTCACATATGATCTTCCAGTGTCTCTCAATGCAAGGGGCTGCACCTAACATTTTCAACACTGTAGAATCTAACAGTGTAAATATAAATGCCATGTATTTTGTATGTACTAAGCTGGAACACCTGAAGTTTGAACTACACAGGACAACTTATGGACACTTACTAGATTTGTTGAAAGATTTACAAAGTCAGCATAATCCTTATTTATGAGTTCCACCATAGCAGTTTTAAGTAGCTTGTAATAGAGCTCCAGATCCTCCCGGAGCTCTTCCAGCTGCACCCGTTTCCTGCAGTCAGATACAAAGTGGTCGACATCGAAATTCGGCTGGAAGAGAAACAGCAAAAAGAGAAGGATACAAATCAAAAGAAGTTCAAATCAAGAACACAYGTGACCTCTCAGAATACATGTGAGCTCCTCAGGATAAAGCATTGCACAAACAAGTAAACTGATCAGTTGAGTTGAAGTCCAAGAAAAAATGTAARTCTTATCAGCTTCCTAGTCCAGCCAGGATACTGTTTTCCAGTTTGTACTGTATCACACTATTAGAAACAAGAGCCAGTTACACTTTTTCTCAGATCTAACCTATCTTGTAGCACTATAGATTTACTTTTGTTAACCAAAGATTACTTTTCAGTGAATATTGAGAATGAATGTAGGTTTTTAAATGCTTTGTATGCTGTAAGATAGAGGAAAACTCTTGTGTACTCTTTCCCAAAGGCAAGCATTTTATTACTTGTAACAGGARACACAGATCCCTGACAATTTTACAAATGAAAGCTTTCACCTTTTCTTATGCAAGACTATTAAAACTTCTTTGATAAAAGTCTAGCCTATTATACATGAGAGGCATCATTGCAATTGTGAATAATTCAGGTTTAGCAAAACTACAAATAAAATTATTTAAGTCTTGTATAGATCATGTTTGGTAGGGAAATCCTTCAATCTGATAAGCATTTTATTAATTGACTCAGTCAACATTTGATATCAGAGTACAAAGCTGGTATCACGGAGGATTCCAGCTGGGTGTTTCATTGAGAAGACTGCAAAAAACCAAATCTACGTGTACCACAGAAGGTGCTGAAAGACTGTTAAAATCTGTGCTGCGTATAAAGAGCCCGAAATCTTTAAAGCTATTTTGATCCAATTTAAATCAGATGTTAGACTTGTTCAAGAAGCACAACTTTCTTCGAAAAAAAAAAAAAGTGTGCAACTCTAATATTAATGCTACTTAACTGGAGAAAAAGCAGGCCTTTTCTAGTAAAGCAGAAAGTGCACAAAACAACACACACAGAAAACAACCTGCAATTGTGTCTTGGCGGGTGAAGCCATAGTAAGGGCAGGTTTAAAGATTCAAATTAAAGGGAAACTGTGCCTCACCTAACAACATGGTCACAGGAAAGTGCACTGAGAGCATGAAAAAACATCATTGCCACTAAACTTTTAGGTCTACTGCTGACAGCAACATTTGGCAAGTCCCCATTTTCTCCATATACTCTTAGGCAGTATTAAGAGCTGAGTAAGCTTTTCCTTATGTGAACCAGTTTTGCACAAAAAATAAAGTCGCATTTTAGAGAACCCCATCACTTCCAACGCCTGTTCTGCCAGAAGGAAGAACAAAACCAAACAAAWAGCACCTTTCAGCAAAGGTCCTGCCAGCTCATCCGCCAACCAAGACAGCAGCTTCCCAGGCTGCCTTCCAACATCCCCTGCAATGCCCAGGGCCCAAGAGCTCCCAAGCCATCAGACTGCCACAGCTGAGGAAGCAGCTGGTCCAGGAGTCTACAAGTGCAAAAAAACATCYGAGACCTTGAAAACCAGCTGGACCTGGTCCCAGATTTTGCTTTCATGGAGAATGGGACAGGTTTTGAGGCTTCCATGACAAACGCTGCCGGAGATTTCCGCCCAAACCAGCCACGGCYCCAGGGGCCTCCCGCAGCTGATGTGTTACTGGGTATGACCCTGCAACATTTCTGACCGCACGAGAAACATTCTGCCCAATTCAGCACATACCTGCAACTTGAACGTCTACATTTCTGTCATCTCCATAGAAAACCACAGCAAAAATCACTGAACTTTTCACCTGAAACACTGGAAAGCTGCACACATGCCTCATCYCTTCGGCCCAAAGGGAAAGGATGGCACTAATGATGTGGAATACCTACCGGCTGTAAACCAGATTAGAGTTATTTAATCAGAAAATACAGGTTTCAAGCACCAAAGCCTCCTTCTGCTTCAATAAAAGCCACAGGACACAAGGCTGCAGCTGCACAAGTTTTACCGGCAGGAATTCAGTGGCACTCGGGGATTTGCAGCCTCTGGAGAAAATGACAAGCAGAGACCCTTTAAAGATCTCAGAGTAACGACCCCGCGTTCCTACTGCTCCCTCGGGATCTCGCCTGAGCTTCAGGCACAGACTCACATAAATARGAACAAAATAGGAACTGCAGCGATTCCGGGCTGCGGCAGGAGGCCAAGCGCCAGAGCCAGACCCGGCCGCCCAGCCCCTCGCCCACCTTCATGAACTCGTCCTTGTCGAAGCAGAGGTTGTCGGGGCCCCGCGGCAGGTTCATCCTCCTGCCCTCCATGGCGCCCCGCGGAGCCGGACACGGCGGCAGGAACCGCCGCCGCCGCCACGCCCCCCCCGCAACATGGCGGCGGCCGCGGCGGGCGGCCCGCGGCAGCGCCCCCTGCGGGGCTCCGAGCGGCGCCGCGCGGCGCCCGCGAAATGGCGGCGGCCGCGGCTGGGCCGCGGAGGAGAGGGGAGGCGGGAGGCTGCGGGGAGCCTCTGCCCCGGGTCGGGCCGGCCTGGCCTGGCGGAGCCCTCATTAGTAATTACCTTAGCAGCGCCATCGCTTCGGGACTGCGCGGGTTCACAGCAAGCTCGTCTGCAGACGCCAGTCAGACCCCACCTGCCCCTCCATGCTGCTGCCCTGTCCTGCTTTCAACAGGCACCTCTGCCAAGGCCTCCTCTCCTTCCAAGTCCTCTGTCTAAAAGTGCTCTAAAAAGACCATCTGTTTCCATTTATGCTTTTATTTGCAAAGGTCTTATTACCAAGATCTCTTTGAAAAATTGGTGAAAAAAAGAATATGCTTCCGCTTGAATTTGTTTCGTCATGAGGTCGTCACACTCTRTATTAATGGATATCACTGTAAAATAAGTAACAAGTTTGCAGAATTTTATACTTCACCAGTGAAAACAGCAATTGAACAATTACAGTAAGTTAAGAGTAAAGGCAGAGTTAGGACTCATGGGTTATTTCTACATGTTGTCCCTGAGTGGCCATCTTCATCTGRGGTAGTGGCAGCACAAAGGTATGTCCACGATATCTCCAAGACATAAGAGACTTAGCAAAGAAGAGAGTGAACTAACCATTTCTGAGAGTCATTTGAAGCTTTCTTTCCATTATTTTTGAGTTCGGATTGTTTAGGTCATTTCATTATTATTATCCTTATATTAGCTCATATTCCTTATCCTTTCTAACTGTCACAGGACCCTTAAGGTTGGAGGGGACCTCTACAGATGATCTAGTCCAACCCCCCTGCACATGCAGGGTCACCCAGAGCACGGGGCACAGGGCGGCGTCCAAGCGGGTTTGAAGATCTCCGGAGAAGGAGACTCCACAGCCTCCCTGGGCAGCCTGTGCCAGGGCTCTCACTGTTTTTCCACAGTTTACAGGCTTAGCCGTGCAATTTTTTACTTTTTTCCTCCTGACATTCTCCTCAAACACAAAGACATAAAACTACTAACATCTTATGAAAATTTTAATGACTGTTTAATCTTTAGTTCATGGATAGCATATAATTAAATGGTTACTTCTCTTTCTTAGAACCTGCTGCATGAATGAAGAGAGCCTGTGAAAGTATATCTCAGCGTTACTGCTGTTACCAAAATAGAAATGATGTAGGAGACAGAGTAGAAGAGTTACTTTTAGCTTGYATGTGGGCTCTGAATTTTAAAGATCCCCACATCACTTCTCATTCTCAATGACACTTGCATGCATAATGATATGACATATCAGATTTAGTATAATTGTATCATCCTTTTCCTGAAGGATGCCAGTGACTAAGCCACTGTCTTTGAAATACATTCATTCTAATATACATTACTTATAATGGGAAGGAAAGAATCTACGTTTACCTGCTGATGCATTTTTGAGATTTCTCTATTTTTTTTTTTTTTTTTAATGAAGGCATTGCATACAATTAATGGTAAAGGAGAAAAGTATGACAGTGTGCAGCATACAGGGACAGAAATGCTAAAATTATTTTATGCTGGATGTTCTAGGTACCAACCTTCAGGAAATGCTGATAACATTAGACAAAATAATATGTCAGTGCTGATGCATTATTTTGAACACTTTGCTGTCTTAAAATGACATTTCCATTCCCGTTTCACTTTCCTGCCTGCCAAAGCTGTGAAAAATTTTTGTGCTGGTTACTTCCAAAAGACATTAAAAACAATGAACTCCATTTACAAAATGTAAGTTCAAGACAGAAAAACATTTTCCTATTACTGATGTCTCAGCAGTTGCCTTTTTTTCTTGTTTTCTCTTGGGATCCATAAGACGCTTGGGACTAGAATTGCTTACATGAGCAGAGAGAGACAAGCTCCTGTCCCTGGTTCCAGCCCTGGACTGATGAGCACACGTCGCTGGTGTCTGTGACAGCTGCCAGTCAGCCAGTGAGGCCGCAGTCATGCTTAATATCAGAATGTAACTTGAAGTCTTGGTCCTAAATGGTCAAAGTAAAGAATAAGTTTGCTAATTTCTCAAGAGATGTGTCTTGAAAGTCAGTAAAATTACAGTATTGCTATTGTTTTGTCTGTTTTTTAGTATGATGTAGGCTGCAAGACCTAGAGTAAATGTATGTAAAATTTAGAACTGAAATATGAAAATGGAAGCAGCTTAAAACATGTTTTGAACATGTACCAGGTTAAAGCAGTTTAGATTTGTTCCCATTCTCTGATATGTTTACATCTACAAGATATGTTGAGGGAGGGAGAAAGGGAGAGGGCTTCAACTCTCTCATTTCTAAGTTCCTTTGCCCAAACAGATATCACAGCACAAAGGAGCTGCTTAATTTACAGCACTCTGCTGTGGACATCAGTGCCACAGATAGTGGGCAATAAAGGCTGTGAGTTCCTGCCTTCTCCTCCTTGTAACATACTCTCTATGATGGTGAGGGATGTTCTCAACATGAGACTTTATTAACTTCAGTTCATCTGGAAACTTCTCTGGCTTGTTGACTTGGTAGCTGGTCACTTGGAGTTTAGTCATGTCCCAGGCAGCACAAAAGTGTCAAAACTGGAACTGAGATGCACTCTATATCTGATTCAAACTCTTAAAAAGAATTTCCATCCAGATGGTAGAGCCCSTTATTCCTTTGGCATTGTGCTTATTTACAACAAAGTACAAAAGCCCTTTTTTTTCCTTCGGAACAGGAGAATTCAAACAATACCACAATTTGTTTGTAGGTCAAAACCTCCTTCAGCCAGCACTCTGCCCCAAAATGCTCATTGAGCTTTTCATCAGGAGCACATTCTTTATGGTGCTGTCCAGAAGGGCACTGCTGGGGCCTTTGTACCGTTCTGTGGTTTTGCTTCAGCTTCTCTCACTTGATCATACACATAAAGTCCATGGACGACTACCTAGTGAAACCCTTGTCTGTAGATGGTTTACATTTCTCAGTGATCTTGTGTGATTTTATTTGTTTATTTATTTATTTTTATTGTGATTTGTACACACACTGTCTGTGTTTTGGTTTGAGATCATGGATTTCTCAAAGGAATTCTGTGGTTTCTTACAGGCATTGAAAATGAAAGACAGCAACCGTATGCTGCAGGTTCAGTGAGATTCAATCAATACTGCAGAGGCAACTTTTTATGGAAGAGCCAGGAAATCCCTTTTTTTCCATCTTCCTCCTTTTTTTGATAGCTGCTGTTAGAAAAAAAGAGAATAAGGAAGTTTATGTATGTCTTGGCAATAGGTTACGAATTGGTAATACATTGGCAACGTATTGCCAGTTGCTTACGAATTTTTAGCATTTGCATTAGTAGCCACTGGAGGTCACTAATGTGTTGCAGAAACCTAGAAATCAGTGCACATTTTCCACATAACAAGARATGTAACTTAAAGAGCAGTAGATCTGATGGTGAAGTATTTCTATGTGGAATGGGAGCAGATTATGTCAGTGTGCTGCACGTATACACCTAGCTGGGACCATCATGTTATTCTGAACTTGATTACTTTAGAAGCAGCAAATAGATGATCCATTATCTGATTCTGGGAAATGAAGTCTACAAAGGTTTCTGGCACAACTTAGTTAAGAGGCGTGGACAAAACCAAGCTGGAAGAGAAACTMCACATGGGAATGTCTAAGACTGAGTTGTGGTGTATGTGTAATGTACATTGCACATAAGTATGCACACATAGTCCATCTAATATCACCACAAGAGAAGAGATAAGGGAGACACTTCAGAGGTGCTATTACTATATAAAGCAGTTAAGAGAAGCTCACATGTGAAAAATGTAATAAATGTACTTTAAAAAGGTAAAGTTTCTTCTGCACAGCTTCAGTATATAGGTGTCACAACAGCTATTTTTAGGGTGGTTTGCATTGAAAGTTTCAAGAAACCAACCTACCAAATGACTTATTTATTTATGCATTGAACTCCCATCCGCTAGAATACCTGCTGATGTATGTAGGGCATACATTTTTCTTCTGCTCCAGAAATCCTAGAGAGTAATTTCTGTTTGTGCAGCACATATACCWGATACCGAATCGCAGCTGCTTCAGGTCTGCTGGGAACGTCGGTGCTGACTGTGCAGCCGCTGCAGAAGGGAAACCTGTCTGCAGGCAGCCAACGTGGCCAGGCCCTGCCTGTTCCTGCAGTGCTGTGGATTTCCTCGTGTATCTGCTCAAGCTGCTTATGCATCACCAGCAATATGCCCGCGGCTGCCTAACTTTTAGAAATCCCAGAAAAATAGCCAGATTCTTCCTTTTCTTCCAGGGTGGGAACTGCAAGAAGGAAAAGACGACATTCTAGACCAAAATTGAAAATAGGTAGTGCCAAGCATGTAGAAACAGTAATGCTTTCAAACATAAACTATCTATAAGGAAACATAACATACACTGTACAGTATAGCCCCTGAGTCTCGTGGTGTAAGGCAAGTTGTCCTTGTACATTTACACATATTTGATAAAACTGTCAATTCATTTTTGTTCTTTTTCTATCACTGTTTTGGAATATTGCTTTCTCGGTTTGCTTTCTAATAATTGCCCACTGTCAGTTCCTTCCATTTTCATTTTAAACTTCCATCGCTGTTTCTAAGTTGTCATCATTTTCATATTTGCCTATTCGTTAAAGCCCAGGCCCAGCTGGAAGTGACAGTGACWCTGATATACGCAATCTCAGAGTTTTATGGTGTTAATTTTGTGGGATGCAAAACACCACCCACTGGCRGCTTAATATACTGAATATCTTCCTTAACTCTTAGAATTTCACGTTGATTATGCCAATAGAACAAAATTTTACTTTCTTCATTTGACCAGAAAGACATCCTGAGCAAGGAGACACCATCAATAAATGGGAGTCGAATGTCAGGGAGACATCTGAAACTGTAAAGGACAGATCATTCATTGACAGCATGTGATAGCTCTGTTTTATCAACGCTTGGACCAAAGACATGCTCAGAAGATGCTCTCAGATCCTTAGTGGGACTTTTATCTGAAAAGCTACATTTGATTGGAATTAATTCTGCCCCTTCCAACTAGTACGCTGTAGGGCTGCATGGTTTTCTTCTGCAAAGAATTCTTAATCCTCATGCAGATGGGAAGTCGCAATAAACACCATCTGCTGCAAATTAGGTTACKCGCTTAGCAACCAGTTAGATCAGGCTCCTTCTCACCCTCCCAATTTCCATGCTGAAGTACGCCCCAGCGCTGCAGCCTGCAGTAGAGCCCGTGATCAGAAACAAAGTGGAGATGAGAAAGGAGAAATGTTTCCTATTCGCCGCTGGGCAATATCCCTCCCGTCCTCGCCAGCTCTGCGGTTTTGCTGCTGGGTGCCCGGCAAGGCTGCCCGCTCTCCTTTCCCTGGGGTTCCTGCTGCTYCCGGAGCGGTGGGAACAGCATCCCCTAATGCTGGTGGCCTCACAGAGCTCTTAGGTGCTGGGAGCCAGCCCAAAAAGTAAGCAGGATCGGCAGAGGAGGGCTACTTGCCAGTCTGGAGGTGAATTAAAGCTGGCAGAATCCCCGGGAAGGGGGCCAGCGAGGCAGTGCAGTCGCTACCTGACCTCCCCCGGCGAGACCTGTGCCCCCACACGTGGTTTCCCTTCCCCGGCAGCCGCCAGCTTTGTCTTCCCTGTCTCTCCTGGGGCACTGCTCGATGATTACAGCATGTCACGCTGTTTAGGACAGCAGGTGTCCAAGCAGACGCTTGTTATTAACCTGGCAT